TATGTCTTATAGGGTTTATACTGAGTACAATATTGTATAACTGTAATAATTCAACTGTAAACCTAAAAATTTATAGCCAATTCTGAAAAAGATGCATCTTAGCTTAGAAAATTGTTATTGAATATGTCAATGCTGATGTAATGAAAGAAATGCTTCTTCTAATTATATGGTTATTAAATAAATAATTTTTTTAAAAGCTAATCTATTTTCCCTTTCTTTTTCAGAGTTAAAAACTCACCACTTAAACAGTCTCCAGGTTATCAGACAGAGCTGGTTATTCAGTTGGTATGGGTGGGCGGAGAACCTCCACAGCAGATCACCAGCCTGGCACTCAATTCTTCCTATGGACTGTAAGTATAAGGTTTGTTTTTTTCTCATTCTCTTCATAGTATTCCATATATCATTTTGCATTTAACAATAGAAAACCTGGTCTTTCTTACAGCACATTTAAATGTAGGTGTGGAACTTTAATTTCTTAATATATTTGATGGTTTATTTGGAGCATAATTTTTGTTTTGAATAATTTACTCTGGGTATACATATATTGCTATCTGATATAAGGTAAATATTTTATGGATCAATAAAATATCAAAGATAAAACTTTATTTTTTCAAATTTAGTTTTATTTTATTTGTACCAGTGTTTCGCCTAAGTGTGCCTGTCTCAGCAGTATTTACCAGGTCCAGAAGAAGACATTGGATCCCCAGGAACCAGAGTTACTGATTGTTGTTGGTAGCCATGTGGGTGCTGGGAATCAATTTCAGATCCTCTGCAAGAACAGGCAGTACTCTTAACTGCTAAGCCCTGAAATAAAGCTTTAAAGTCAATATATCCACTTTTGTATATTCTTCCAAAAATGCTTTTCATTTAATAATCTATGAAACTCTGATAAGAACCTGGAGTTATAACCTGATTTCGTAAATCTGAACTGTATGTCACTTCTTGTTTCTACTTCCAAAGGTAACTTGTACAAATTTGTAAATGAGCAGGAATTTAACAAAATATTCATCTATACATAACCATAGTTGTTTTCATTGTTAATTTATGCCTTCAGGTATGTATATAAAGCATTTTTATGCTTTGTTTATTTTCTTTAAAAAAAAATCAGTTTCAGCATAAAAAGACTGCTCACAAACTGTCGACTCCTGAGCTGTTTGTCATGGATCACTGTCTTTGCCCTTGGTGGTAGTGCTAGGAGTCACTTGTTTCTTTGCTCTGGTAACTGTCGCCTCCTCCCATTTCTTGCAGTTGTACATTACAGCCAAGACTGCTAAAACTCTAGAGTCTTCTCTGCTATCTTTTATTAGCTGCCTTACAGTGGAAGACACAAACCTCCTCCTTTTAAATTATTTATTGACCACAACCATAAAGAAAGCAAACCAGCAATAAGAATCAGAAGTAGTTAAAAATTGATTACAGACCTCATTGTGTTCATAGAGTTCTGTTTGTGGGGATTTTTGCACTTTATGTTTATTTTTAAATTTTAAATTAGTTGCCAAGACTACATATGTGTATATCCATGTTTAAAGTTTCAATGGAAAAGTCTGACTTTCTGGCCCTTTGTGAATTCCCACATGGTGTCCTCATCTGGATCCCAGTTGAAGAGTTTTCCCTTTAGGTACATGTCTGTTTTACATTTCACTGTAGTTCTTACCCAGCCTCTTTTATTATGTATATAACTCTGTACACTCCAGCTTTCAATTTCTGCCTTAAGAGTTCTTAAAAGAATAATAATCCTTTATTCACAACACATTAGGTTATAGTTCCTAAACTGTAAGGGAGAAGGTATTTGAATACCCCAGAGGGAGTCTTCCAAGACTTACACTTCCCTTTTATTCTTGAAAGAAGAAATTACCAGAACTTCCTTTGACCTGTGATTCCCTGTTTTCCTAGAGGCAGAAAATTAGGTGTTATTGCCTACTGTGGAAGGTTTATATCTCTGATCAAGCTTCAGCATCTATCTCAAATATTCTTACAAATGATATTGTATAGTATCTCTTAATGATAGAGACAATTAATGTCTTCAGAGACAGAAAAGGATGTGTTTGAGATCAGATGGCTAATATATATATATATATACACACACACATACACTCTGCATTTCAAACAGCTGAAATGGGTCCCTGGATCCCAAGGTGAAAGGAGAGAACCAAGTACCAAGGTATCCTTCAACCTCCACATGTGTGCTCATGCACGTACATGACACACAACTGATAATAAATAATTTTCTGAAAGACCCACCGTGCTTTCTTGATTTCACTAAAATGTTCATGCTTTTCCTATTCCCAGGGTGGTTTTTGGCAACTGTAATGGCATTGCAATGGTTGACTACCTCCAGAAAGCAGTACTGCTCAACCTGGGCACTGTTGAATTATACGGCTCAAATGATCCTTATCGGAGAGAACCCCGATCACCTCGTAAATCTCGACAACCCTCAGGAGGTAAAAAAAAAAAAAAAATTAAATCCTGAACCCTAAGTACTGTAAATGCTCACTTACGTGTGTCTCATGTCTGTAAGCTGCTTATGTAAACAGTCCACAACAGGCTAGAGGTATGAGTCTTGTATATTGCTGTTGGATTTGCTTTTGTTTTCAATATTCTAGGATTTAGTTAATGTCAGGAAAGAATCCGTGTCATACTTCTCCAGGGAAGGAAGACATAACTTAAGGAATATTTATCTAGTTATTGTAGAACTCAAGTACATTTCAAAGTTTTATTGTTTGATCCCTATAAGCCAATAATTGAGTTTCAACCATTTAAATCAAAGTAATCATTCCCAGGTGAAAATAAGTGTGGCCCCAATGTGACATAGCTGTTATAACATCTCAGATAGCCTGGATTCAGTGCAAGCCCAAGTTCCTTTAAAATTGTTTTTATAGTCTTCTGTTTCCTAAGCAATTTGTATTAATGGTGAATATTTTAATGCTGATACTGTTAGAACACATGGACTACTTGCTAGCTATCCTGTACATCTTACCTATTTTTTTACTTCATGATACAGGGCACATAACATTCAGTGTATGACATACAGAATAACTTATGAGACTTCAAGCTCTGATTGACTGGTGCACTTAATTTCCCTGGGTCTTCCCAGCTGGACTAAGGATTGAGGAGAACCCTGTTTGAGCCTTGTTCAACCTATTTGCAGAATATTAGTGAACCTTGGACCACTGTTTAAGAAACTGGTACATACGTCCTCACTTAGTACCTCAGAATTAAAGTTGTCTTTGATTCGGGGTGATCAGAAATAGAATATTTGCCTAACATTGACAGGGCTCTGGGCTGGGTGTCTGGTACCACAAATACATAAATGAATGCATATATACACAGAAATACTTCTTCCTGAGATTCCTTTTTCAGTTGCTCTCCTACATTATTAGCTGGTGCTGCCAGTATCATAACACATGAGATAACTAAAAATTAAATTAATCAATTAAGGTAATATTAGGCCTTTCTATCATTTTGCTTGATTGTTGAACTTTTCGGTCTGTTCTGCATTTTTGTTTGTGAGTCTGATGTTTTCCCTGCGTTATCTTAGCAGAGAGTCCTCCTGCAGCTACGCCACTCTCTACCTGTCTCCTTTCTTTTCCTCTCCTTCTCATTACTTCACCAAGGTGTGCTGGTCGTGACTTCTTGCATGTGCGGCCTTTCTAGCTTATATTCTGAATCTGTGAAAAAACCCCGTTCTTCTTTTATGAGTAAGTCATTTATGTCTTGACATTTCTGTTCTATGTCTCTAAGTTCATTGCTTTCTTTTCATTTTTAAAGTGCTTCTCAGCTAAAATAGTCAATGTCTAAAATGCATACTCTTTATTCGGAGTCCTCCCATAATAGCTACTTAAACACAAGACACAACCAGTTTCTTCATAGAGCAGAGAAAGTAATACTTTATGGCAAAGTATTAGAACATTTTTATGTCAGAAATTTTTGTGAAGAACAAAACCCTTACAGATTTTACAAACTTACATAATTTTACTAGTCTTAAAATTAATTTGTTTTCCCTTTTATGAAGTTCACATTAAATTGCTAGCAATTAAATGCCCAAATATATCTAAGGAAAGAGACCAATTTTATTTTGTAATTTCATAAATTATTCTGCATCCTTCATTCCATAGTAAATTTCATTATACTTATGTTATTATTTGCTTTATTTGATACTGATAATTAGAGAAGTCAGGTATCTGAAAATTATTTGAAGTTTTTATTAGTTTTACGGTATTTACCTGCTGCAGTCATGCCTCACTTTATCATTATTTAGTGTTTGATAAATAAAAGTAAAAACATTTGGGGCTGGAGATGGACCTCTGTGATAGAAGAGCTTTTACCTGGTGGTAAAACTACTTAATTTTCATATAAAGTTGGCAATAAAATAACTAGTATTAAATTTTTAAATTGTATCGGTATTGAAAAGGTAATAGTCTTTCAAAGTGTAATGGTATTGGACTGTAATCCCAGGATGTGCGAGGCTGAGGCAGAAGGATTTCCCTCAACTCAAAGCTTGCCTGCAGATATTATCTCAAAAAAAAAAATCTTCTAAAGTGAATGTTTAGTATGTTTTTGAGCTGTATCATGCCATCAAGTCTTTCCTCGGCCTTTTAATGGATCAGTTTGAATCAAGAATTTTTGCAGATTGTCAGTTGTTTATATGTTTGAAGTTTGAATGTGTTAACTATGTTATATTACAGTTGAGTTATTCAAAATACTGTGGCTTCATAATAAACACTGTAACACCATCAGATCCTAGACCTTAGAGGATACTCAAACCTGGAGTTCTTTCAGAATCTTTATGCACTGTTTTCTTGTACACATACACACCTGTGATAATGTTTAATTTAGAAAACAAAATAATATTATCAACAATAATACTAAAATGAACAGTATTCTGTAATAAAAGTTATGTGTATGTGGCCTCTTTCTTTCAAAATGACTTGTTGTGTTCATGCTCCTCTCCAGGGTGACATGGCACGATACTTAAAGCATCTCATGGCTCTCTTAGAAAAACTAGTATCTATACCCTTGTGAGCTACTTGATCATAAGCTCTACAGTACTTTGACAATATATCCAGTAAGCAAGACACATAGTCCTGAAAAGCAGAGAAGTATTAGGAAGGCATAATGATTCACCTCTGTGCAGGACAGTGGGATTTTATCATGCAACTCAGAGAAGTGCCTCATTTAAAATTGGACAATTGTTTCTATAATTTTCCATTTAATATTTTAAGACCAAGTTGACCATGAATAATTAAAACCATAAAAAGTGAAAATGTAGGAAGGGCTCTGTGTGTGTGTGTGTGTGTGTGTGTGCGCGCGCGCGCGCGCAGTGTGATAGGGTCCACAATCAAGAATCTATGAAAGGGGTGGCAAAATAACTTAATGGGTAAAGAACTTGCTGCCAAACCTGACCACCTGAGTTCGGTGCCCAGAACTCACATGATGGAATCAACTCTCACAGATTGTCCTCCGACCTCCATACATATGCCTTAGCATGTACACAGCCACATACATACATACACACACTAAAGAAATAAATAAGTTTATGAATGAGGTTAAGAATGTATAAAAATATATACACCAGTAAGTACTATGTCAAATTATGTCTCACTTCTAAATAATGGCAAATCAAGCAATGTAGAATTGGGAAACCAGTTAAGGGATGATTTCAAAGGATAGCTAAAAAACAGAAAAAAGAGCTAAATAATTTTATTTCTCAGCCTTCTATTAGGTAATAGCAATGATTTTTCTTTCTGAAAAGTGTAAAAATTAAGAAATGACAGCCCAGGTTACTTCACTGAAATAAGAATGACTATGCATTAATAAAAGGATATTAAGGGTATTCAGTTTAAAAGGTTTCTGAATTGGTAAAGGTAAAAGATTTTAAAAATCAGTTAATTTAATATACAAATTAGTCACAGTTATAGAGTTGCTATGTAACTGATGCCCTGTGTGCGCAAAGAAAGGAGATGGGGGACTGGAGAGATGATTCATTGGTCAAGAGTAGTTTGGTTCACAGCACCCACATGGCAACTAACAAACATCCATAACTCCAGTTCCAGGGGATCCAACACCTTCTGAGCTTTGCAGGTATTGTACACACATGGTGCACTTACTTACATTCAGGCCAAACACTCACATACAGAAAAATAAAATAAAAATTTTAAGACAAAAATGGAAATGATCAGGCCAGTGAGATTTCTCAGTGGGTAGAGTCATTTGCTGTGCAAACCTGACAACCTGTGTTGAATCCCCACAGCCCACATAAAAGTGGAAGGAGAGAACCAACTCCAAACTTGTCTGACCTCCACATGTGCACCTTGGCCTGTCTTCTCCACACATGCAAATAATAATAATAATAATAATAATAATAATAATAATAATAATTTTTAAAAGAAAATGGAGATGGTCAAGTGTTATCAGCAAGGGTTCAGAGAAAGTAAATTGAAACAAAATTCAGTGAGACACTATCAAAATAAGGTGGATTGCAATAGATGAACAGCACCTAATGTTAACATCTTACCCACACATATACACCATGCACACATACACACACATATTCATGTGCACCCATCCACATAAGCACATGTCATATAATAAATAAATGTAAAGTTATAGCAAAATTAATTAATTTTATTGTGCATGTGTGATTTATGTGTGGGTGGAGGTGGGGCATGGCAGGTCCTCAGACTTGCATAGCAAGCATTTTACCTATGAGTCATCTCACTGGCCTGAACTTTACTTTTTTAATCTGGTAACTACGTTTTCTGAAGTTAGTGAGGTATTTACTAGTGAAAATTCTGTGAAACTCTTGTAACAGTCCCCAATTACGTAAATACCTAGTTCAGTTTAACACTTGGAGTCATGATTGGAATTAACGTGATGTAGCAAAGTACCATCTGTGAACAAATCTGGCCCACTTGCCTGATTTGTAAATACAACCTTATTTCAGCAATGTCATGCTAATTTGTTTATAACCTAACATTCCTTATATATAGTACATCAGTTAGTAGATATATTTTGATGATTCACACATTATTTTGTTTTATAATATTGCAAATTTTTTCCTTTTAGAGTATCTGAAACAGCAAGCAAATTTAACAAATTAGGCACTATTTAAAGAGTAATGAGTGCACTTGATGGCAGAATACACTTACAGTTGGATACTGTAGTATCTACCTTCATTATTTTAGTGTATTGTACAGAAGACAGTGTTTCTAAAGCTCAGCATCCTGTTTTGCAAAAGGAAGGTGAGTACTGAGTTAGGCAGTCACTAAGTGAGGCAGCACATAGAAACATGCCCCATCTTGTGACTGCAATATTCCTATCACTCAAGTGGTTGGTTTTTATTAGCTACAGTTTAGTTCTGCTCATCATGTGGCAACTACTGAATACACTAATGTGGAAAATCTAGAATAGTCAAATGATACTTATGTTGCAATTCCTCTTCATTTTTAGAACAGATTATTTTTCAAAAAGTAAATTTTTGCATAATATGTGGAGAGTTTTTCACCGCTAAAATATCTCAACAGTGGTAAAAAATAACGTGTTTTTATCCCTGTATAAAATACCTAAAACACTCAGTGCCTTTTCTTCTTCTATAAGTGAAGAGGGCACTGTCTTCTTCGTTTGCTGCCATAGGATCAAGGGCATGAACAGCATAGAGAAGAGCATCACTGTGAGCGCTCAGCCTGAGTACAGGTGTGGGAAGGGGGGCCTGTTGGAAGGGTTCTAAGAACTGCAACAGAGTGGGTGGATTTGATGAGATACTATGAGATGCTTTCACATAAAGTCACCCATTCAACAAATATCTATCAGCTACCATAGTATAGGTAATAAAACAGACAAAAACCTCTGTCCTCACAGAATTCGCATTCTACTATAAAATGTCGATAGTTTTTAAAAAAAAAAGTTAAGTAGACTACAGTAAGTTACACAATATTGGTAGATACAAAAATAATGAAAGAAAATAGGATTTAAACATGAGTGGTAGGGAGAGTAAACTAGAAACAAAGCAACCAGGTGACTTGAGTAAAGATTCAAAGGCAGTGAGAGCTGCTAAGAATGTCAAGGGACGTGGAGAGGACAACAAACATAAGTCACTCAGAGCAGTGTACTGGGGGCTCAGCATGGGGCAGAACTGTGTGGCTGAAGAAGACAGCGGTTGATAGAAAGTAGGTGGGAAGGCAAAGAAAGTGAAGACAGGGAAGATATCCTGAGCAGGGTTCTGTTTCAGCCTTAAGGCTGGATTAGACTTCCATTCTGACTGAGGTTAAAGGGGTTACTTTTAAACTCCTTTGTGGTCATTTTATAATACATTTACTATTTAAATTAAGTCATATTAGTCCACTTTTTAAAATTCAGCTTTTTAATTTTTGTGGACTGTTTTATTAAGAATAATTTGATATGAATGTGTGCAGGTGCATGTAATGTGTATGGGTACCTGTAAAGGTCAGATGTCAACATCAAGTATCTTCCTCAGTCATCTCTAGCTTACTTTTTTGAGACAAGGTCTCGCTGAATCTGTAGCTGATAGATTTAGCAAGGCTGACTGGCCAATGAGCTCCAGGGATCTGCCTGACTGCCTTCTCAGCCCAGAGATTGCAGGTGCATGCTGGGGCACCTTGCTGTTTATGAGTGCTGGGGATCTGAACTGAGATCCTAATGCTTTTGTAGCAGGCACTAAACTGGCTGAGCCATCTCTCCAGACTCTGGAGTGATCATTTTATCATACAGTGTTCTGTGGTGTTTTATGGTATTTGTGATACGTTGTAAGTACAGTGCTGACAAAAATCCCAAGGGATTAAAATTCCCAAAGCTACCGGTTTTGAGTATTCTGTACTAAGTACATTTTGATTGTGGAATGTATTATCACAGCCGCTTAAAAAGCTTCAATCTCAGTGTTCTTTCTAGAGTTCATATGTATAAACAAATATTTTGTCATATTGATTACAAACCTATATTTAATTCTATGGCCTTAGAACTATAAGGTTTTTTTTTAACTTCTAGAACCATTAGTTTATGATTTTTTGGTTTTATGTTGTATTTTTTAATGATGATTTTTATTATGATTTTTTAAAATTTTTTTCAGTCAGGAATAAAGACACCATATAATTTAAACTGGAAAACATTTTATAAACCCAATTCAGAACTCTGAAAATGTCACCATAAAAGCTTTCTTAGGGGAGCTGAAGAAATGGCACAGCACTTAAGACACTGAATGTTCTTGCAGAAGACCTTGTTCAGATCCCAGCACCCACATGGCAGCTAACAACAGTGGAGTCTGTAACTCCAGTTCCAGGGGAATCCAAAGCTCTCTTCTGACCTCTGAGGCATTGCACGACACAGGTGCACTTACACACATGCAGGCAATACACTCATACACATAAATAAAAGTAATAGATAATTTTTTAATAAAAAGCTTTATTAGGGACTGAAGCAATTGTGAGCTTACATCCTTTATGAAATAATGGGAAAGCAGGCATGGGTCACGTGCACACACATGGTTGTGAAGTCTGACTTCTGAGGCTTTGCTGTACAGTCCTATGTGTTGCACAGCTAGGCCAAACTCCTGCTGTGTTTTTTGTTTTGTTAGTAATGTGTACGCAATTTGTAAGGAATTTCATTTCAGTCACTGCGCAAATTAGTATCGATACTAATTGTCTATTTCACATTTTACTCAAGGTTTTCTTTTTATTTTTTTTTATAATTTCAAACTCTAGATAACATACTTTGATCACATTTCCTCCCCCATTATCTTCTCCTCCCTCTGACCCCTTCTTCTCAGGTACCACCCTCTTACCTTCATGTCTGTGTGTGCCCCACTGTTTAGTAAGGGCTGTTTGCCTGAGCATAGGTGGGGCTTACTTAATTGAGCAAAGGCACCTTACCAGTTGCTACACCACAGAGGAATAGGAGTCCTCTGCCTTCCTCCTCCAGAAACCATTAACTGTCTATAGCTCCTCATGGAGTTGTGCAGCCTCATAAGCCCCATCCCTATCCATGGTAAAATGTTGATGGGCCCAATCTTGTGCAGATCTTCTACAGGAAACACCACTGCTGGGAGCTCATTAGTGCAACAGCCGTATTCAGAAGATAGCATTTTACAGCACTTGCCCCTCCTCTGGCTCTTACATGCTTTCTGCACCCTCTTCTGCAGTGTTCCTTGAACCCTGGAGGAGATGATATAGATGTCTTATTTAGCTGAACAGTCATGAGTCTGTGCGTTAGCCGTTGCCCACTGCAAAAAGAAGCTTCTCTGACCCAAGCTAATAGCAACACTAATTTATGGGTATAAAAGTAAGTATTTAGAAGGCAGTTTGACAGCATATCCATTTAGCAAAACAGCAGTAGTAGACTTCCATGCGCATTCCCCATCCCCTATAGGGCCTACGACCTCCCCTGGTATGGAGCCTTGATTAGGTTAAGAGTACCAGGCATGAATTCCTCCTGTGGAGCAGGCCTCAACTCTAGTCGGGCAGTGATTAGCATGGGTACTTACATAACGGTCTTGCCAGTATTATACCAGTGGGCACATCTTGCCTGGCAAAGCAGCACTGTAGTTCACGGAATTCAGCACTGGGTAAGAGTGTTGGTGACTTTTCTCCACCAAGAGACTACATAGCACTTTACAACACCGAGAATACTGGCCAGCAGGAAGGAAGCTCATTTCCAGCCTGGTTTGTTTGAAAGGAAGATGCGTAGTGTCCTCAGTAGTAGGGTCTTATCATCTAGAGCTGGTGGACAGCCAAAAGCGGCCTTTGTTGTTTGGCTGCATCTGAGACTGCCCTGACCAGCAGCTCTTAGGGAAGTATCCTACACCTGGCACTGGGGTTTCCGTTTAAGAGCTGTGATTTCCAGGAACAGCATTTTCCACCTGTGCAGGGTCCCTCCCTTCAAGTCTTTATTATTTTCAGCTTACAAACTCGTAAGTTTCCATGTGGCTTTTATATACATCCTTAGTTTTGGTTAACCCTCCTTTCTATATCCTCATTACCAACCAAAAAAAAAACCTCCTTTACAATAGTTTCTGTTAAAAATTTAGGCCTATTTTTCTTGATCAGTCTTGTATAATTCACACGTGTTTGGGGTAGGAGAAGATTTTGTTGAGGGTTTTTTTTTAAATGTTACTCTACAGGATGAATAATATACTATATTTTAAATATTGTGAATTTAGAGAAACAAAATATTTTCTTAATTAAAAATATTTAAGGGGAAAAATGCCCCATGTGGTAGCACACACCTTTAATCCAAGCCCTCAGTGGGCAGAGGCAAGTGAATCTTGGTGAGATCAGGGTCATCCTGTTCTTCATAGTGAGTTGCAGGCCAGCTGGGCTATAAGGAAACTCTGTCTCAGAAAAAAAAATTAATATAAATAAATAAACAAATATGTTAAGGATTGTGTCTAAGATATACTTAAGGGAAGTGATTTGAAGGTTGGAGTTGAAGGCCCATGTGAGACAAAAATTGCCAGATCTACTAACAAGTGTTTATTCTACCCATGAGAAATTCTAAAAGTCTCCACATGTCTAATTTTAAACAAAATATTCCATCATGTCTGATATCCTTCAAGAATAACAAATCGGCTTATTTAGAAATTGTATTTCCAAATTTTAGTCTAGCAGATAACTGTTGTACTTTAAGATCTCTTATTAGCCAGATGTTCCCATGCCGGCCTCATACACAGCATTAGCACCAAGCGTCTGCTGATCTGCTGGATTCTTTTAAGTGGTTAACAGTGGGTTGTGCACTGTAAACAGGAAGAAAGAGTATATAAATTAACGTGTTTGATTTGCTTTTTGGTTTTGTATTTCAGCGGGCCTGTGTGATATTACTGAGGGCACGGTTGTCCCAGAGGATCGCTGCAAATCTCCAACTTCTGGTAATCTCTTTTATTTCATTAATAATTATGCTTTTTTTAAAAAAACTAAGGTGGCATATCAGTGTATCTTTTTATAAACACTTGAAGATACCTACCAGAAATGTATGTATAACATTTTTCTTAAAACCATAACTGTATTCTTATTAAGTGACAAGAAACACAGCTTCTGCTAGTTAGGAATTCATAGATGTTATCTGTTCAGGGTTGTAGGATTATAACATTTATACTACTAAGGAAATGTATTTTACTCTCTACCATTGAATCAAATGTTTTAGTTATCTTCAATCTTTTCTTTGTTCTAGGTACTACTGACATTGTTTGATAGAATGGAGTAGAGTCAACGAAAATTTGATGATTTTTCAGAGTTGGGAAATCAGCTTTGTTTTTAATTAAATAGTACTCATTTCAGTGCTGTGACAGACTTTCTTTTATCTTTTTTTTTCACAATGACAGGTGAAACGAGGGACCTTGTACATGCTAGGCAAGTCCTTTACTAGTAAGCTATACCTTTAGCCCCAAATATTATAAAAGATTTTGATACATGTAGTTTAAAGATGCCTATGAACTTAGGAAAATTAAAGCCTAATTAGACTTGTTTTTCTTTTTGATCAAGGTTGTTTCTGGTATATTTACAGCTTTGTTCAGGCTATTACTTTTTATTTGAAGATGGGTCTTTATGTGATCCATGTATATATTAATACTTCATAGCAACATTATTTTTAGTATATTTGAGACCCCTTAAAATCATGCCTTGAGTTTTTTATTTACTAGATTGAATTTTGCTTATCTTTAATATAAAGTTAATTTCATCATTTAAATTATTCTTAACTTTCTCAACCTAGGAATTTTCATTAACTTTCTATTGAAAAGATTGTTCTTAACATAAGCATACTGTTTTTAATTTTAAGTCTTTCCATATCCATCTACTACATTGGAAAGAATAATGAGATGGGATGTGTTAAGAGAAGTGTTTTATGTTATGTTATATTCTCTTATGTTTCAGTTTGCATTTTATTAGAGCTAAGTTGATGAAAGCTTTTGTGGTGTTCTTTTTAAGTCTGTTTTTCCATGTGGTGTACAAACTCATCATTTCTTTTTTATCAAAGTTAAAATGTAGACTATGGAGATGGCTCAATTGGTAAAGTGCTTGCTTTGTAGAAGACCTGAGTTTGATTTCAAAATCCACATAAAAATGCACAATGATGTCCCCTTGTAATCCCTGCACTGGAGAGGTGGAGAATTGTTGTATCCTTGGGGCTTCCTGGCTAGCTAGCCTTGCCTACTTGACAAGTTCCCAGCCAAAAGGCTCTGGGTCCAAAAACAAACTGGATAGCATCCAAGGAACAACACTCAGGGTTGCCCCCTAGCCTGTGCATGCATGTACACACACACACACACACACACACACACACACACACACACACACACGTGTACCCTCGCACACACACACACACACACAGACATACACATACACACAATTTTTTTTGTTCTTTAAGCTTTCTATTGAAGTTTTCCCATTAAACTATTGAAACCTAGAGCCACAAGAACTACATGGGAATCTGTTACTAAGTCTTTATCAAGGTCAAGTTGTATACGATAAAACCAGTTGCTTTCTCCCTATAGTTGTTTCTAAATTCGTAAATTAAAATCATAGAATCTTTTCAGTGCTAGTTTCATTCCAAGTACATTCAGCCTAGTTCTGCTGTTCGTGCCTTCGCTGAAAGCCACAGAATACAATTGTCAGTATGTTAAAGAGCTGAGCTACATGGGACAGTTTGCACAGTATATTTTACGTTTAAAGTGATTATTAAATTTGTTTAGTTAGGTGCAGCACAGATAATATCTCTTTTCATCCTAAGCTAAACTTTCAAACAGCAGGTGCATGAGGCATTTAATAAATTATAATTTTATATAAATGCATAAAATTATAAATATGAAACATGCATGTATGTACATTCAAATTTTCACTCCAATTTTTCTCAAGAGAAACTCAAACATGGTTCAACGTTTTGAAGTATCTTTTGCTTATTGGCCCATGTGAAAAGACAGTATAATTTTTTTTTGAGACAGTACAATTTTAACATTGATATGACATTATATATTTTATTGTTTCTTTCTCTTATTGGTCTGAAATGCAAAGTTAAAGATTGTTATCTCAGAAAACTCACTGATAAGGCATGGATTTTTATCTTTAAATAAAATTTGTGATGAATTTGGATTAGCCTTTGTTTATGCTCTGATGGTAGAAGCTTTATCTGAGGAACTATGTCCATTCCTACAGTTCAGGAAAAATTGTTCTTGAAAAATGTCAAGGGGCTGGAGAGATGTCACATCAGTTAAGAGCAATGGCTGCTCTTGCAGAGGGCACGGGTTTGGTTTCTAGCCACCTACATGGCAGCTAACACTAGTTCATAACTCCAGTTCCAAGAAACCCAGTTTGTCTTCTGCCCTCTGTGGGCATTGCATGCATGCTCTTGGTGCACTTACATATATGCAGGCAAAATACTCATGCACATGAAAATGAATAAAATGTTAGAAAATTTTAAAGTCATAGGCAATCATTATGGCTGAAACACAGTTTGGGTGTCAATGTGCATTAGATTGAAAACACATTACACTAGGAAGTAGAAAGTTGTTGTGTCAGGTCCTCCTCTGATCACTGTGTTCTTACAGCTCAGGTATGTTTTCCTACTTGTCTAAAATAGTTAATAGTGTTCTTTGCTGTCATGGTCTTACTCTGAATATTTATACTATTTGGCTTTCTAATGGGGAAATAAAGGGACTCTTATTATCATTCGATCTTTTTGCAAACAAATTAAAGTCTAATAAAAAATGGATGCAATGAATTTTGAGGCGCCACCAAAAAGCTACAATTTTCATGGTTTTAACAACACGAAAAAACTAAATACTTTCTGGTTTTATAAATAAAATTGTTAAATAGCATATTATAAATTATTAAAAACCAATATAATTAATAGTTTAAAGTTAGTATTTATAAGAAATCAAGAAATATATGAAAACGAATTGGAAGCTAAAATGAATCCCTCATAAGCACTTAAAGGAGATCAATACTCTGAAGTGTGAAGTGCTCATATACCTTTTCTCAAAACCAGTATATTTATCTAAATTAATGCACACAAATGAAGAAAACCTTTTTAAATATAATTATTTTTTATGTATATGAGTGTATTGCCTGCATGTATGTAAGTGCACCAGTGTCATGCAGTCCTGCTGAGGTCAAAAGGGGGCATTAGATGCCCTGTAACTGGAGTTAAGGACTGTTGTTAGCTGCCATGTGAGTGCTTGGAACTGAACCTGGATCCTCTGCAAGAGCATCCAATGCTCTTAACTGCTGAGCCATCTTTCCAGCCCCAAGAAAACATTTTTTAAAACTTTTACATTTCATGATTAAGTTAGTTCAACTGTTTAGCTAATAAATATAAAAGCTCTCTGCAGTAAACCTGTTGAAAAGTACCTCTTATATAGTTTGCTTTTTCCATTTATTAAGTAAAGCAGTGGTCTGTCTGAAATAAAGTCACTTCTGCCTGCTGGACATACACAGCATGAACAAGCAAAAGTGATGACCTCTGGTGTCTTTCCTTGGAAGACTGCAGGTTCTGTTGCCCAGCACATTAGCAATGATGGAATTTTTGTGTATGTATGTGTATAGTGACATAAAATGTTAAAATGGTTTTAAAAATGGAGACTGAGGAGATAGCTCAAGGGTTAAGAATATGTTCTGCGCTTCCAGAGGACTCAAGTTTTGCTCCCAGCACCCACTTGGGGCAACCACAACTGCCTGTTAACTCCTTTAGCTTCAGAGAATCCAACATCTGCTTCTGATCTATACAGATACTGCACTCAATATATACAAACCACACACACATAATTTTTAAATAGCATAAGTTACATGTATATATATTTATTTTATAGATATAATTTCTGCTATTTAGTATATATATATGCCTCTTAAAATGTATTAGGTTATTTTTAATTGAAGGATCACCTGTGATATGATAAAAGTCATGCCCTGAGGTGTTTATATGTTACCTGGAAAACAGAAACAGAATAAGTTGTGGATGTGTATGTATTTGTTTAATTTTAGTAATTTAGTACATTTATTCAAGAAGGTTATCCTGAAATGTTTTCATGTGCTATCATAGAAATTAAAACAACCAGTAATAAGGATTTTCAACTAGTAGGAAAATAGACATGCTGGTTTTTACATTGAAAGCCTTAATTGACTGTTTATCTGTAGAAAAACACCAAACATTTCTCTTGATTTTATTATATATATATAGATACTTTTCTGGTATTACTCTGATATGAAAGATACCAAAAAAGCTAGTGTTAATATATGTTTTAACATAAATTTGTGCAGTTATTTGGTATCACATGATGACAGTAATATTTAAAAATATGTAATTTTAAATGACCATTGCACTTATTAACTCTGAATTAAATGTAAAAAACCTATACTTATTTCTGTTCTAGAACTATTATTGAGTTCAGTATTGATTTTGTAATATTGTTTTATATGAGATTCATCAGAATCTGTAAATGCTATTTAGCAAAAACAGCATGGATTCTCCAAAGAGTAATCTTTTCAAAGCTCTATGGATGTAACTGGATTCTGTGCTTCCTGGCAGGTTTTCTTGGTTAAAGCTTGTCCTCCTGGCCAAAGTAAAGAAAAATATATTTGGGGGAAGTCAGGTTCAGGTTTTTCAATGTTTGCCTAGTTCACTAAAGTTTATTGCCTTTACTGGAATTGTCCTTAAAGTATAAAAAGGAAATCATCTTATTTACTTCCAGTTATGTTGTAGGTGTTTGCACCTAGCAAAACAGCTTGATTCATTTGGCTAGAATGAACTGGTGACAGTTATACAAAATACATGCCACTAATCACACACAGGTTCCAAAAGTGAACCAGAGCTTGTATCACTGAAGAGGTCTTGTGTGTAAAATTTAATGCAAGATACTAAATGTTGAATACCATGTGAGAGTTATAAAGCATCACAGTGGTTTTAAAGGAGGGGAAGTAATACCCAGTTGGAAAGGCTGGAAATAATTTAATCCATGCAGTGTCATTTGAGATGTTCCTAATAGATGTCGATAAGTGTTAGATTTTTTCTTTGTGCTCTGACATAGAAATAATATAATATGCATCAGGACTTTTGCCCAATTATGATTCATTAAGGAAAAATGTAGAGATAAAATTTTATGTTATTAGGAAAATGTTATTAGGATCTGCTGTCAAAGCGAGTATACACTGAGTGCTATGCTGGAACGTGCTCAGGATTGCTGTTAACCACGTACATGGCCTTGTTTTGTGGTCACCAGGCTTTTGATCTGCCGTTTCTGGCTGTGGCATCTCAGTGCTTGTGACTGACCCTGTGCCTGTCCCTCCGTTGTCTCCATTTGTGTAGGTTCTTCATCCCCACACAATTCAGATGGTGAACAAAGATCGAGTAACTTTATAGAAAAGGGTATAGTATCTTTATTTTAAAGTATTTTCTTTTATTTATATTTAATTTATTTAGTTTACTTTGAATAGATTTTGACATTTTATATCAAAATATTATTTTCAGTGAAGACCCAAAGCAGAAAGCTTTCCAAGATGGTAGCCAGTGACATAGGTAGGAACTAGAAATTTCTACTTTTTTCTAATCCTTGCTCCATGCACTGCTAACCCAACACCAGAAGATGATCCAGAGCATTGAATTCTGTCTATATTAATTTGTTATTCCTGTGCTGAACAATAATCTCTTGGGCTATATCTCTTCTCAACTCATTTGTGGCAATAATTATTAAAATCAGTTAAATTGGGTTATAGCTCCTTCTCTTGACTTAGAGTGTAAATTATGCTGTTAACTTTTATTTTTGCTTATTTTAAAATGAAACAGGGTTCAATTTATGCTCTGAATAGCAAGCTTATGATCTGAAGTTAATTTATATTTTATTTGTACTTTTTCTACTTGTCTATCTCCCTCATATTTTTAAGATTCCAAGTCTCAAGGAAATTATCTTCTAAAGGCTGGCTTTTTAAAACATCTTTAATCTACACCGGTTTCAGGGTAAATGGCAATTTTCTACCACCTCCCATCACACAAATAAAAGCATTTATACTATTCCTGTTTGTTTTGTGGATGGATATATTTTGAAATGAATAGCTCAGTTTAAGTTTCTTGAAATTTAAAACTGAGGAAGAAAATGTGTACTAAACCTTGGAGACATAATCAAATGACTTTCTTTGGTCATAAAAATTTAAGAATTCTCAAAGATTTGAGTCTTGAAAACAGGCTTTTATAGAAAAGGGTATAGTTTATCTCTGACTTAAATTTGAAATTTTTATTATACAATTCATATATTATTTAATTCTACCCAGACTCCCTATAATATACTTTTTTCCCCATGATTTTGGTGGGTGTATGTGTGTGTATGTTCAAGTTAGGGGAGAGCTCTTGTGTATGCTGGTTCATGTGTATGTGCACCCTCTGAGGACAACTTTGGCCGGTGCCAACTACTTTAAAATAATTATTTATTTGTTTAATTTATTGAGACAGTTCTTTTACTGGCCTGGAGCTCACCATGTAGGTTAGGCTGGCTGTCCAGAAAGCCCCAGAGATCTGCTTTCTCCTCCTCCAAGCACTGGGAGTACAAATGCACATCACCATGCCAAGTTTTTTTTTTTTTTTTTAAATGTGGGTTCTGGGACTCAAACTCAGGTCTTCATACCTGCAAACAAAGCACCTTTGCTGACTGAACCATTTCCAGCCCTCCCACATACTTCTTTAGTGCACATGAGTGCTTGTGCCCTGGAATAGCTGTTCTCTTCCTCAGCTCATAATATTTAATACATGGTTGGATTTAAAACTTCTAGAAATAATACCAATGTTTTCTATATGCTATAAGTTGAACCCTGTTTAGTTGTATTAGTGGTGGATGACTCTTAACTCCTCTGTTCATTTTTTAAATAAGGTGGTTTATTCTTGTGCAAAGGGCTTTTCATCAATTATTTATTGTTATATATGGTTTCTTAGTGAAGCTGTTGGTAATAATTAAATCACTTTAATTCTGTAAGAAGACTATACATACAACTGGTTTTCTTTAGAGCATATTGCATCCCGAGTACATTAAAGTTCTTTTGTTGTCATACCTATACTGTAAAGAGAAGTTTGTTCCTAACTGAATTTCACTCAACAACTTTCAGAATTAAATTGCCTAGGAATTTTACTTAACATGGAAGGCATATAATTGAATTGCATACAATTAAATTTGTTAAAATAATTTCTGTCCGACTTCTAGTCCTAAGTTATATTTGCTTTATTAAGTGTACTGACCAGACCACTTTCACATTTTCTTTTACTGTTTAAAGTTGAATATATAATGTGAAAACTATTTGAAAAACTTTATAATTTTTTAGAATAGAAACATTTTTGAAGGATATGTCTTTAATAGTATTCTTCATTTCTTAACCTTCAAGAATATTTTCCTTGTCTATATATTAACTTTATTTAGTGTGTGTTGGAAGCTTTTATTGTGTGTAACTTTTTATTAATCCAAAATTTTTGGTGTAAAGAAAGAAAGATACTGTCTTCAATTTTTTACTTTTACAAATGGACACTGCCCCAATTCACACTGCCAAGATTTTGTGATTGAAATAGTAATCATTAATGTAATGTATCTTTCTACATTAGTATCTAACTTTATAATAGTAGCATTAAATATGCTGTTAAGAAACATAAAATGTCAATGAACTGTTCCCCAGGAGTGGTGTTTGCTGTGAGACACTCTTACTTAAATACTAGGACTCCTTCAATATTCTGAGCACACCATATCCCCCACCATCCAATCCACCCTTTTTACAAAGTACCCTGACCCTAGTAAAATTATCACTTGTCTCTACAACAGTCTACAGCACTCAAGCCTTACCTTAGGTGATTATGCAGTAACTCTGGGAAGAAAGAATTAGACCTAGAGACTCACAGCTTAGTACTGATGAAATAACCACCTTGGGTGGCTGATTGAATAGTTTTGTCCCTAAGTTTCATGTCTAGAGTAATTGTTGCTGGTGCCTGAAAAAGTGTGTGTGTGGTTCGTGGAGATGCAGCATGGCGTTTTACACTTTAACAGTTCAACCCAAGCATGAAAAAATAAGCCTTTTTTTCTTCCCTGTCATTGCCTTGACAGCACAGCTTAGGTAGATGACATAAGAACAATTTTTTTAATACACTGGTCCATTATAATTTTCCTAGCATCATACCAGCATTTTATAATTTTTCTGATTTAATCAACTTAGTAATTTCATGAATTGTTATTTCATTTTTACAGATGAGGGAACTGATTACAAGTTATCTGTTAGTTACACAGCCAAATGAGAAAGCATGATTTATACCTAGTGGTCCAGTTTCACTGTCTGTCCTCTTCAGCACTGTTCTTTTTAACACAGTTTACTAAAAGCTATAAGGATTTGAATATATTTATATATAAATACATTATCCAGCTCATAGCTAAATAATCTGGTGTGGCCCTACCCAGGTACTTGGTAACCTGGAAAAAGGCGCATATCAAGTTCTGTCTGAGCACCAGACCCATTGCCCAGGCATGATGCATATGGTGCCTGGAATTCTAACTACTTCAAAAATAAGAATCAACGAAATAGAACAAACTGGAATAGCCTGACCACTTTTCCAAAAGCCCAGGTTCATTTCTTGGTTATGTCATTGACAGCTAAACCAGGTGAATGATTCTGACAGTGATGTACTTGCTCATGTGTAAGAACAACCTCAAGAATAACTTTAGTCTTCTTGATTTTACAGCAAAAGTGTAGCCGAATACAATGCAGTGACACAGTGCAAAGAGGGTTCTATTCATGTTACGCATCAGCTTGCTTTGCCTGTTAATGCCATAAGATTAGCTTTGTGAGCTAAGTCTTAATGCCACTGTTTTCCAAATCAGTAGCTTTTCTTGTCCTGTTATGTTTCCATGAGTCACTTAGAAAGCATAATCATAATTTCTATTTGCTATTCATTTATATTTTATAAAAATTTGTGAGATTCTACAAACCTTTTTATTGTTTATATAAAATAGCTCTAGTACATAAGGTGTTTTATATATGTAACTATAAAAAATGCTTCAAAAAGTATTGTGTTAACAAAGAATAATTTTTGTGATATCTTTATGAATAAAATGTGGTCCCAGGTGCTAGCATTATTTGGTAAATTTGAAAATCAAAATTAACTTTCCTAAAGATTCCTAACTCTTTCATTTTTCTGTTTCATGCTAACAGTAGATTTCTAGCTCGATTCTGTACCCCAGTTCCATTTTAATTTTCATGTATCAGGAAAGACTAACAACTAGCCTTATTCTATAAAACTAGTAGGAAAAATAATATTAGAAATGAATGAAAAGAATGAAGATTCAAAATTACAGCAATTTAAATAGGTGCTGTGCCAAAACTGTTAGAAATGGGCACCTGGTACGTTCTAGCACTGTGCTAGAGAAGTTTTTTGTGGCATTTGTTAAAACAGGGCAGAATAGACCTCCAGGCCCCTTTCTCTCTCCCGTCCTGAAATGTGGATATTTAAATGATGACTAATTTCTCAGCAAAAACTCAAAGTGGTTTTTAGTCAGTTTAAATAAAGTTAACATTGTTCACTGGTCCAAGTACTCTTTTCATTAATTCTTCTTACATGTTTCCTGATTATTCTGACATCTTAAAATCTATTCTTCATGATTTTACTCTACATTATTAACTTAATAAATTATACAGCTTGAATGTTCTAATTCCTTTAGTTTTCAAGAAAATAAACCAATCCTTCGAGAAGCTACATGATGCATCCACAGTAGTAACCTGTGGTAACGACTGTCAGCATTAGTTGACTTGATAGCAGGGTTAGGGTTTTGCACTTACAAAGGGTTTCAGGAGAAAATAACAAGTATACATAACTAAAATGCTTTGTCAGTTACAGCAAAATAATAGTGAAGAAAAATTCCTAGTTATTATATGTATGTCTGTCTTCTTCAATGTGAAAAATACTAGAATTAGATTAATTGAAGAATTATGAGAAGAATATTTAGTTATTTTATATAGTAAAGAAACTAGTGCTAGAAAATTTTATTTTATGAGAGGGAGTCTTTTAATTTGAAAGAATATTTGAAGGTTTATAAGTTTATTTCTAATGGAAATCCTAAGGAAAATCAGAAATGTTTAATGAAATACAGAATTTTATTGTGAGTGAAATTTTTTGCTGAATCATAGGTCTGGTTACTGAACATTTACAGTTAACAAAATATAGATTTAATTTAATTTGCTTCAAGAGATAGAAAGTTATTTATAAATTGTGTTTGCTGTTTCACTATATATTGAATTGTGTTTTGTAATAAACTTAGAGGTTTAGCTTACAGTGATACATACCTTTCGATACTTTTATCTTAAAGGTTCCCCCCACCCCATTTTCTTGGAATATTATAATGGAATTAGAATGAAAGAGCATTAAGTTTTTTGTAAATAGCAGTAACAAGTTATTTGTATGATATTTTGCATTTTATGGAAGATTCATGCTCTTATGTTATTATCAATAATAAATAATAACATTTATTAATTCCATATGCCCACATTAAGCTCAGTTCTTTGCTTACATTATTTTGTGCTACCCCTAAGCAGCTATATATGTTCATTTTACAGATGAGGACATTTTTGGTTTAGATAGACAAAGTAATTGGCCTAAGGGTAACAAACCTAGTAATTGGGTGAAGTGGATTCAAACCCAGGTTTGCTCTGATTCCAAACCCAAACCTAAGCACTTCATTTTACAAAGTAAATGATGAGCTTATCTATGAAATACTTTTTTTGTGTACTTACTGTGTATTATTCGCACTGGATTTCATTTGTCTTGATTCCTAGCCTGAAATTGTTGATAGGTTAAGGATCTTTCTACTCAAGTTATGGCCTCATAGTCCAGCAGTATCAGCATCTTCCAAGAGCTTGGTAGAAGTTCCTCTCAGACGCAAGCCCAGGAATACAAAAATCACATTGTGCATTTCAAGAAGATCCTCACTGATTGGAATGCACATTCACCTTTAGAAGCTGGTCCCAGTGGCTCAGTATAACCTTACCAAAGCAGAGTGGTGGGGTCTGGAGAGGTGGCATCATACATCAGATTCTAAAAAGTGTCTTTGGGCTGGGGCCAAAGATTTATCCACTGAAAATCTCTGTGAATTCCTAAAGTGATCTAATGCTGCATTTAGGGGACTATTTAGGGATACAGTATCTTCTAATTCTAAGGATATTGTATGGCAGATAGTAGGAACCAGGTATGTGAGCTCAACTAGCCATGAATTTTGTTCAGCTATTTTAATTTTGTTTTTAATCTCCTGTCTCAGAGTTAATGAGTGGTAAAAATGAAAGTACCAATGTATAAATTTGGCCCATTGTTTTGTTAAGAGATACTAATAGCTTAATCAAGCTTAGTGGTAACAAAATTATGTCATCCCTACCCCAAAAGCCTTTCCAGTCTACCTAAATGTGTTTCCTAACAGTGGATTTGTCATTTTTTTAGATGTGGAAGTTATGTTCTATGACTGGATTTCTCTTTGTTTACATGGCGCCCTTTTGGACTAGCAGGGTCTGTGCTTTAAATATCATCCTAACAGTCCAAGATTTAACCAAATATATGCATTCATGTATTAACAAATACTTTCTCAGAGTTTCACATAGGGAGCACTATTCTGTTACGCATGCACTACCACTAACATGATAGATGCAGCAGAACATCTAACTCACATCACTTCCTAGACTAAGGCAATAACTGATTTTGAGGATGGAAAGTGAATTCCATGATGTTTGTGCATTAGCTTTTCATTTTTCTAGTATTACATAAAAATGCCTGCATAGACATTTTATTTAAGTACCATAATTTTAAATTAAGCATGACTTTTTTATTTTTCACTGAAGTACAAATGGAATTATTAATTTATATTAAGTATAATTTATATCAAATAATGGTTTAGTCAGTTTGATTTGATTAGAAATATGGGTTTGTCTTATATTCTACAAATTAACTTTGAAAAAAGCAATAATGAGTCCAATTACCATAAAGTTGAGGAGCTAGGAATATTCTGTCACATACCCTAGCTTGGTCTCATGGCTGTTGCATTATCTGCAACACTTTCCTTCTAAGGAACAACTTTTCTTCTCATAGAAAAGTCTGACCTCTTCCTGTAAGCCTAGCAGTGATTTGTATTTAACGTTAGAGCTTAAAAGGCTGCCTTGAAGTAAGAGCTTCAAGCACACAGAGATGCTTCATCAAGTAAGTAAAAACTTTTAAAAATTTGAAAGTAAGATTTGCTTTCCACTCCTAATGTTTTTAATCATATTTTAATTATCCCAGCACTTAGATTGAGCATTAAAACTATTCACTTCTATCTTGAAAATCAGTTGCTATCAATAAGTATCAGTCAAATGTTTCTCAGAATTTTTAAAGTATGTTTTATTTTTCAGCAAAGATGTCAAGAAAGTTAAGCTTGCCAACTGACCTAAAGCCTGATTTAGGTAAGTACAGTAACTAATGGAATAAATATCCAGAGTAACTGAACCCTGTATAACAGGAAAGTAGAGATCAGAAGATTCAAATTAAGATTAAAATTTGCTTGATTACAGATTAATTTTATTAAAAATGTTTCCATCCATCAAATCACTCAGAAACCTATTTTGATCTTTACAAACTTAATTGTATGCTAATTGAATATTTTAAAGATAAATGATCAGTTTTTCATTTAAAATAAATCTCTTACAGAAAGTCATTATTACTAGCTTTTGATGATAAATTGGTTAGTGAATAATCTTTTATGATACTATTTATGAAACTTAACTCACACACCCATTTGGCTTTATGTTCATCTCACAGTAGACTCGGTACCTGACATGAACAAATGTCATTTCAATAAAGATAAAAAGGTTTTATGTACTGTGGGCAAAGCAAGGTTTATTTTTAGACTCTTTTCCCCACCTCAGGAATTTCTATTTCCTTTAAGTGAAAAAATGCGGGTACTTAAGGATGGTTTCACTCACCACTGTTTTAGAGATGACGGGGGCTTGCTTTCTTTAAAGTTGTCTACCCACCTCACTTCCCACTGTTCATTATCTAGATCCCTTGTCCGTCTTTTTCATGTATGAATCAGACTTGGTCCATTTCAACAATTCATAATTTAACATTTTCTTCTGCCTTTCCTCTTACGTCATTTACACCGAAGAAGCATGTGATGGTTAGTGAGTAGGTACATAAGGTATTCAGCTGTCATCAGTAGAAAGTTCTGTTTACAGGAAAACCAATTTAGTAGAACTCTGTGTGTGGCGGTGCACACCTTTAATTCCAGCACTTAGGAGGCAGAGGCAGGCGAATCTCTGTGAGTTCCAGGCCATCGAGTTCCAGGCCAGCTGGAGCTACAATGAGACCGTGCCCCCCCCCCCCGAAGAAACAAACAAAGCTAATCATAGAATTCAGGATAGCTTGCGTTTTGAGAAGAATGATTTCCTTTATTCTAAAAAAAATGAAAATCAGAATGGCTTATATGTGCATGAAATTGTCAGAGAATAAATTTAATTAACAAAAACATTTTATAAAAATATGAAAATATAATTGTTTATAACAACAAACAAAATGAATGTCATGATTTGAACCCAAGTATTTCCTAGGATTAATTACATTGTACACTTTTGTTTTAGACGATCCAGAATCTTCATCCCTTTCAAGGAGGCTCAAGGTTTCAGTAACATTAAATATTACCTATTTAACAAATTTTAGAAGTTTCATATTCTTGGGGCTGGAGAGATGACTCAGCGGTTAAGTACACTGGTTGTTCTCGCAGAAGACCCGGGTTTGAATCCCAGCACCCCATATGGCAGCTACCGACAGCCTCTTCTACCCTCCATGGGCATTGCCCGACATGGGTGCACTTACCTACATGCAGGCAATACACACATACACATAAAAATAATAAATAATTTTTTTAAGTTTCATATTCTCAAAAACCCATATGGAATACTTTTAAAGCTGGTTAAAAATCACCAACTATTTTTAGAAACCTATTCTATATGTTCAGATTATACAAGTAATTTAGTCAACATGTACCTTCTATGCTTTGATAGACCTCTTTTAATTATTTGTTAAATTATGACAATACTTTTCAAGAAGGTCATGTGATTCAGTGAAATGCTGATATGTAGTGTGATCATCCCTGGTGTTCGGTAAGCCTTGCTCAATTGTAGCTATTTTCGTTTCTGTTTTTTGTACTAGAACTATTAAATGTTGTTTGATGGTGCACACCTGTAATCCCAGCACTCAAGAAATTGAGGCAAGAGAATCAAGGGCATGAGGCCAGTCTAGTCTATATACCAAGTCACTGTCTGAAACAAACAAACAAAAAAAATTAAATGTTCTGTTCATTTAGCTTGTTTGGTTTCTAAAAACCAGCCATCAAGACCCACAACACATAATTGATAGGAGTAAGTGGAAATTTTATTTCATGCAAAACTGAAAATTTTGACTTATTTGCAAATTGTTCTGGGTAGGTAAAAATAAGTAACCTATGTCCATCAAGTTGCAACTTAATAGTATTCAAACCATTTTCTCATATTGATGTAGCCTAGGGAGTTTCTTTGGTAATCTGATTTTTATAAGATAACTCAATAAAATTGCAATTATAATTTACAATTAAATTAGTCATTAAATTATTACACTTTATACTCATGTAATTTGATTTAATACTTAAAATATAGTTATTGGAATCACCTGTGATTTAACAAATATCATAAATTTTCCACCAGTTGGTATATTAAAACTTTTTAAACATTTTTTGATATCATACATGAATACTGTGCCTGCATCATTTGCACCTCTCTCTACACCCCTCCTCAATTTCTTGTCCTCTTCTTTATTGTTACATATACACACATGTATGTGTATAATGCACTGAGTCCATTTTGTGGCCCTTGTGTGTACATATGTTTACGACTGACCATTGGAATTGGATTCCTTTTCAGGGAGCCAGTCCCTGGAAAAAAACTTGATTCTCCTTTCCTCAGCATCGATTGATTGCCTGTAGCTCTTCATCAGTGAAATTTCCTCCATCCACATTGACAAGTCCAAAATTTCATGGATGCAGCTTCCCTATCATGTCTAGAATACAGTGTCTATCAGCAGGTTTCCTGGTCCTCTGATTACAATCCCCACCCCCACTTCCACAGTATTTCCTGGGGCTGTATTGTAGATGTGTAACTTGGGGCTAGAGACTCCATGGTATCTTATTCTCTGCATTTTCATCAGTTGTAGAACTTTGTAATAGTCTCCATCTTTTGCAAAAAGAAGCTTCATTGATGAGAGTGACACTTATCTGTGGATATAAGGATAATTATTCACAATATACTGGTTTGGGAAAGTATCAGAAGTAGGTGCTCCTCTAGGAACTGTGACATCTCCAACTATGGACACTTGGCTATGGTTATAGTACCAAGCATGGATTCCCTCCAAATAAGTGGAGCTTGAGCCCAATTAGGCAGATTTTGATTACCCCCAAGTTAAAAGTGCCACTATTGTACCAATAGAAATACTTTGCCGAAATACTTTGTGCTTCATAGGCTTTACAATGTATTATCAAGCTGGAGAGATGGCTCAGTGGTTAAAAGCACTGGCTCTCTGCAGAAGACCTGTGTTCAATTCCCCATAACCACATGGCAGCTAACAACCTACCGTAATTCTAGTTCCAGGGAATCCGACTCCTTCTTCTGACCTCTTTGGGCATTGCATAACACAGAGGCATTTACATGCATGTAGGCAATATATTCATAAACAAAAAATATACAATGTGTCAGTATATTTCTTATATCATTATTTTCCATTGATATTGCTAGGACACAACTAAAATTGTCTATGGGGCTGGAGAGATGGCTCAGAGGTTAAGAACACTAGCTGCTCTTGCAGAAGACCCAGGTTTGAGTCCCAGCACCCACATGGAGGCTAACAACTGCCCGTAACTCCAGTTCCAGGGGGTACAATACCCTCTTGTGACCTCCACAGTCATTGCATGACACAGGTGCTCTTGCACAAATACAGGCAATATATTCATAAAATACACAAAATATTTTTAAAATTTTCTTTTATGTGTATGTATTATTTACGTAACAATATATTTGTTATTGGAAAATAAATTTACATTTTCTATTTTAAAACGTAACAAGTTCAAGAGCTAATAAGCATTTATAGTCAGTATCATTTTAACCTCATCCAGCAGTATGTCGTTTATTGACTATAGAGACATGGTTCATTTAAATTAAGGAATTTAGTCCATTTTCTGTTACTATAAGAAAATACCCAAGGTTTTGTACTTTAACAAAATAAGGAGGTTTATTTATTAATAATTCACAGTTCTAAAGATGTGAATAATGACACCTGCATCTGCTTGGCTCTGGTGCAGGCCTCCTGGCTACATCACAGCATGATATATGGCAGCATGGTAGGAAGTGTGTGAGAGGGAGAGATGACCCAGCCAGGCAGAATGGGGCCAGAAACTTGCTCTTTTTATTCACTAGACCAGCATCTCTTGAGAACAACATGTACCACCTCTACAGGTGATGCTGCAGGTACCTACTGACCCCCACCCGCCCTCCTCTTAAAAGAGGTCCATCAGCTTCCAGCACGTGACCCTTTAGACAACACACGCACTCTTATCCATGCCATAGCAGTCTTCTTTTCTGCCATGGTACTGACTATAGCAGAAAATTCAGTCTTGGGCAAAAGAAAAACATGTTTAGGAACTACTATTAGAAATGACCCTTGATGTTGTCCTAATTGGAAATATTTTAGGGGCTAGTTGTAATCAATTATGGTGAGTGACATCACTAGGGGGATATAGTTTTAGTTTATGAAATCTGAATTTCTTGTAGGAAACTTTGGTGGGAGTTCGAGGATTGAGTTATAACTTTTTACTTTGCTAACATACACCTTAGAGAGCTTTAATGTTTGATGTTTCCTTAATATTTTTGTTCAAAAAAATTGAAAAAGTGGTGTGGAGAAGTGAGTTTTACTAGGTGTGAGTTGTGGAAGAGTGGCACCATTGAACATAATGGTTTAGATGCTCTCAATTATAGATCTGTTTTCAGTAAGTGTTCATTGAATAAATTTTAAAAGTGAGAACTATAAAATTCTACAGAGTATCCAAGTGATACTGTCCTTGCACTACAGATATTTGCAATCATCTTAGAGCAGAGAATAAACCAAGTCAGGACAGCTATGGTACAGATTTTCTGTGAGGACCAAGGGAGAGACAGCAGAGCTCAGTAGGAGAACATCTAATCTCTGTGAGGTTTAGGAGATGGAAAATTTACAGTCCTTACACGTAGAAAGGTTGGGTGCAAGGACTAGAAAATAGTAAACGCCTACAAGTATAGATTATGTTTGGAAAAAGGAAATCAAGTGTCTCTGTTGAGGTTCACAGTGAACTAAAGAGGTGTGACATTGGGAGACAGGGCCCAGAGGTTAGGCTAAAGATACTTTCTGAGGATTCTTCACAATCTGAATCAGACTGTGAGCGAGACTGAGTAGGCATGTAGAAGCTACTCTGGATTGGTGAAATCACGGTAACTGAATTGTAATCATGCTGTACAGTCTAATTCAGTGATATTAGCAGTGGGAGCCTGAAGGTGGAGATATCAGTCTAGGCACCTGCTGATGAGAACCTGAGGCTGTACTAGTCGAAACAAATTGTGATAGGAAAAAAGAAAACAGCACTGTCACTAAGTTAGGAAAAAAACCCAAAACACTGCCATCAATTTGGCATCCCAGCTTTGTGCAGGTAAAAATGAAAGCCTGGAATCTGAACTGCAGCTTATTCTTAGGATACCAGGAAGGTCATTGGTATAAGGTGTCTTCTAAGGATTTAATGTTTTGTAATGCTATGACTTGATTTTGCATAGTGAGACAAAGCAGAAAGCACACCTGGTAAATGTTTGGAACTGAAATTCCCAAAGGAGCAAGGCCAAGGCTTGAGATGGCTTGGATTGTCCACAGAGAAACTAGTTCAAGAATAACTTTGTTGTTACAGTTTTAAAATAGTCACATCATTACCGACAGACTTTAGTAAAGGAAATACACCTGGTATCAGTGGTAAGCCAGATGTCAATTATATATATTGAAGCAAAATGCCTTAGATGGATGTTAATTATATGCAGAGGAGATAGAGGTGAGCTTTTTATTGATTTATGGTGTTCGTGCGAAGAGACGGAGAAACAGGAGGCCATCGATCAGGTACTCTAGATGTCCTTTGTACCTGTGAAGAACTGAAAGGGTCTTCATTTTTCCAGTTTACCCTATCATGAATCATGTTACTAAAGAAGTAACAGCACTGTGAGGACAGCAGGTGGTGAGAGAAGATAGTTAGGGAAGGACCAGGACCCGGAGGCCAGATGTTAGAATTCATTGAGATGTGCCCTGCTCAGTTCTGAAAACTATTGATTCTTTTGCATTTTGCAGTAAGAAAAGGGGAAGTTTCATTAACATAAAAGTAGATTGTTTATATTATTGCCTACAAGGAAAGTAAAAGCTATATCTGCCACAGATTCTGCTTTTTTATAAATTCTACTTGACTAAATTTGTAACACCAAAGTAAATTTTATAACCAAAACAATCCCACATCTTAAATCATTTCAGACATGAAAGATAATTCCTTCAGCAGATCAAGGAGTTCAAGTGTAACCAGCATTGACAAGGAGTCCCGGGAAGCTATCTCTGCTCTTCATTTCTGTGAAACTTTTACTCGAAAGACAGACTCCTCTCCTTCCCCATGTCTGTGGGTAGGAACTACGCTGGGCACAGTGCTTGTCATCACGCTCAACCTTCCCCCAGGGGCAGAACAGAGACTCCTGCAGCCAGTGATTGTGTCTCCGAGTGGTACGTTTGCCCAGGGTGCCGCATGCGGAAGTTGAAACATATGGGACTTGCTCTAGCTTAGGTAGAAACTCTAGCTTTTTATTTTGAGAATTCTAAAAAGTAAATAGGTATTAGCGACTGCTTCATGTTTTAAAAAATAAATTTTCTAGGGCCATGGAGAAGGCTCAACAAGGAAAAGCATTTGCCACATCCTACCACTTGTGTTCGGTCCTCAGAACTAAAAAGTGCGGTGCAATGGTGCACATTTGTAGTCACAGCACTCCTGTATCAAGGCAGGAGGTAGAGACAGGAGAATCAGCCTGAAGCGCACAGGCCAGTGAGCCTGGACAGCACAGCTCAGAAGGAAACCTGCCTCAGAGACAGGGTGGAGGAGAGACCCAACCCAGCTGTCCTCTGACTTCCACGTGTCTGCTTGTGCACCCCTACACACGTGCACACACACTAATTCAGAAACATTTTCTAGTTTTACCTTATGGAAGAAAAACATACCACTTGTTTATTGATCTTCAAGTTAGATACATATGTGCAAAATTCATTGTTTAATTAAATTTTTAATTACTAATTGTTGGCATTTATCTGTTGAGGAATGCAATGATGACCGATTTTTCCAGACTCACGACCATCAGTTGACTTCAAAATTTATCAGTGACCTAGTACAATTACGTTTTCAGTATAATGTACATTTAACATATTTGTGTCTACTTAGTGTTAGAGTTGCAATGAACGTATTTACTCTGTGAACTAAAAACTGCAGGTATATACTAAACTTCTGTATTTTAGGTACTATATTGAGGTTAAAAGGCGCAGTTTTGAGAATGGCATTTCTGGATGCCACAGGCTGCTTAATGCCACCTGCATACGAACCCTGGAAAGAACACAATGTTCCAGAAGAAAAAGATGAGAAGGAGAAGTTGAAAAAGCGGCGGCCTGTCTCAGTGTCACCCTCCTCTTCTCAGGAAATTAGCGAAAACCAGTACGCAGTGATATGTTCAGAAAAGCAAGCGAAAGTTATCTCACTGCCAACCCAAAACTGTGCTTATAAGCAAAACATCACTGAGACCTCGTTTGTGCTTCGTGGAGATGTTGTTGCTCTGAGTAACAGTATCTGTCTGGCCTGTTTCTGTGCCAATGGCCATATTATGACTTTCAGGTAAGAATGAGATAGTTTGTAAAGCCCTCAAATCACGTGATGAAATTCAGCTTGAAAAAAATACCGTATTGTTTCTGGTCTCATACACTGAGACTTCACTAATAATAAACAAGCATGTGAGTGATGCACCATTTTTACCTCCCTCGGGTATGTAAACTAAATCACAAGGTTTAAAGGCCCCACCATTTTTTCTTTTCTTTTTATGTTAGTGAGTTTTATCATGCCATCTTCTTACACATGGATCACCTTGCCTGCTCTTTTAGCTTCTGTAAAGAACTTCTTGAAGGCTAAAACCTACCATGCTCGTTACTAATAAGTCTTTTAATCTCTCCTGAAGTTTACCAAGCTTAAGACCTTTGTTGGATGTTTATTACCTGCCCCTGACCAATATGCGCATAGCCAGAACATTCTGCTTCACCAACAATGGACAAGCATTATATCTGGTTTCACCTACAGAAATCCAGAGACTTACATACAGTCAGGAGACCTGTGAAAATCTTCAGGTGAGTAGCAGGAATATTAGAATCTCTATAGAGTGTAAGTAGTCTCCAAAGGGCCTCATACTTAGTCTGTCCCACGTTTCTGTTGTAATTGATTTATGTTTTATCATTACTGTACTGGGTTATATAGGCAGTTTCCCATAGGTTTGTGATGTGCCCCTTTATCCTCCTTTCCTCTGCCCTCCCCATTAAGTCCTCATCACTGCCCTGGGCAGTTTCCTACTTTCATGCATGCATCTATACTTACATAATTGTACGTCACTAGATAAAATCTCAGACCCACAAGTGAGAGAAAACATGCAGTGTTTGTCTTTCTGAGACTGACTTAATTTACCTAATATGATTAATCACAATGGATCATGTACTTACATGTATGTTCCAAAACTATAAAACATCTAGAAAAAAATGAAAGAAAAAAAATATGTGTTTGTTAACTTGGGTTAGACAAAGATTTCTTAGCTGCAACAACAAAAACATCTTCTGTAAGAGAATGAGTTGGTAATTTCAACACAGTATAAACATCGGGTTAAAAGGAAAAACCAGTTAAGAAATCAAAGTGAGCTTCAAACTAGATTAAAATGTTAGAAAGCATTTTTCTAATAAAACTTTGTGTCAAGAATATACAGAAGACTTCTTTTCCTATTTGTAGTCCCTTTATTTCCTTTTCTAACCTTAATGCTCTAGCTAAAACCAAGCACTATGCTTGAGTGGAGAAAGTGGACACCTTTGTCTTATTCCTGATATTATGGAAAATATTTGAGCTTTTTCCCATTTATTATGGCATTGGCTATAGGTTTGTCATACGTGGCCTTTATTATGTTCAAGTATGCTCCTTCTGCCCCAGTCTCTCCATGTTGGCAGTCTGTCCTCTCCAGGCTTGCTCTTACCATTTCTCCTCTCTGAAGAATATTGACAATAATGCCAGAGACACTATGTGGAAGGAGTTCATCTCATCTTCCTGCTAGTTTTCTGAAAACGCCTACTGCTGAAAATGTGTATGTTTGTGAAAAAGGAAGTTGGTGGTCTAATGACAAATTTTCTGATTGTTCTAAAGATTATGATTCTAAAACTAATTGCCATTCTTACACTGAACTTCTTGACCTGCTACTAAAAATGTGCTTTCTAATGTAAAAAGATGTGATTATTAATCAACTTATCGATTCTTATTAAGTTAGGGGTTAGTTTTGTTTTCTGTTTTCATAGGAATTTCTGGTTTTTTAAAAAATATTTTTATTTCTTAAATGTATTTTTTAGCACATACAGACCTCTTCACCCCGTCCTCTCTTCTCCCACCCTTACGGAAGTGATAAAGGAAAGACACTGATGTTGACCTCTGGCTTACACACACACGTGCACACATGCACACTTCATATCCTCTATTTTTTTTAAAAGGCCTATCAAGTCTAATCTGTGTTCCCCAAGTGCTCTTGGGTATGTCTCTTCACTACTGTAGAGACACCGGAAGCACCAAATGGGGTTCTTTAAAGCCCCAGTCTCTGGATAGAGAAGAGCTATATAAGTTGATTTATTTAATATGGTTTACATACTTTTAAGACAGAAACCTTCAATCTATATAAATTTTTTCCCTTGGAGTTTGGTCAACCTCCCAGGCCATATCAGGACAGAAAATTGACTCTCCTTCTCCCACCACCTACCAATTTCCAAGAGCTTCTAAGCTGAAATGTACTATTTGAGAAAGTGAGTCTGTACTGGATCTGATCACTTGAAAAGTGTGTATAATTGCTGGCCAATCTCAACAGGCCGTGCTGCCACCTTGGAGACATCACAGTGGTCACTTGTTAATTACAGTTTGGCTTCCCTGAAACTTTAACAATATGATTTGTCCTGCTTTTGAAGGAGATGCTGGGTGAACTCTTCACTCCTGTAGAGACACCAGAAGCACCAAACAGGGGCTTCTTTAAAGGCTTATTCGGAGGTGGTGCCCAGTCTCTGGATAGAGAAGAGCTATGTAAGTTGGTTTATTTAATTTGTGTTTGTTAACTTGGGTTAGACAAAGATTTCTTAGCTGCAACAATGAAAACATCTTCTGTAAGAGAATGAGTTGGTAATTTCAACACAGTATAAACTTCGGGTTAAAAGAAAAAAACCACTTAAGAAATCAAAGTGAGCTTCAAACTAGATTAAAATGTTAGAAAGCATTTTTCTAATAAAACTTTGTTTATAAACTTTTAAGACAGAAACCTTCAGTGTGTATAAATTTTTTCTTATATGGATAAATTGTGTTCACTTTTTCATATTTATCAGAGTAATTGACACATTCACATTTTAACAAAAAGCATTACTTTGTCAATAAAATATTTTTCTCAGAGAATCAAAGTAACTTCAAATAGCTAAAAAGAGTGGTCACAACTTACAGCTTTTTTCCTAAGGTTGCCTTTAATTGATGACTGTTAGATTTAAATCACTTTGACAAAATACCTGAGAAAATCAATCTAAAAGAAAAAAAAAACATTTTCTTGTTTTGTTTTGCTTTTTCGAGTACTGGGAATTGAACTCAGGGCCTTGCACATGCTAGGCAAGCTCTCTATCATTAATCTGTCACTCTAGCAAGATTCTACTTGTTTAATGGTTTCAGTGCACCATCAGTTGGTTGTTGTTTGGGACCTCAGTGGGGTAGAGCATCATGGTAGGGACTGAATGGTAGAGCAAAGTTTCTTGCCTCATAGTGACTGGGAAGCAGAGAGTGTGGAGGGACCAGGGTCTTACTATCTCCTTCAAGACCTGCTGCTCGTAACCCAGTCTCCCTCCACTAGGCCTCCCTCCTAAAGATGCCACCACCTCCCAGCAGTGCCATCAGTTGAGGACCAAGCCTTTAACACCTGAGACCATGGGAAGCGCTTATGACCAAATCATGAGGGTGACCGTACAAAACCTCCAAAACTGCTCATTGCATTAGATGGGCATTTAAAAATAAAATTCAGGCTGAAGAGATGGCTCAGTGGTTAAGAGCACAGAGTCTCCTCTTGCAGAAGACCTAGGTCTGCTTCCCTGCACCCACATGGCGGCTAACAACCGTTCATAATTTCAGTTCCAGGGGACCAGTGCCCTCTTCTGACCTCTGCAAGCATTGCATGCCATGGGTGCAATGCAACATGCAGGCAATACACTCAAACACATAAAAAATAATAAATACAAATAAGATTTTTCAAAATTAAAATAACAAAATTTGTTGATTTCCCACCTTCCACATAACTGCCAAAATAACAGATGACCTTGAATAGACTAATGAATCAATGAATGAGTATTTTCTTTCAAATGTTAGCTATCTGTGTTTGTTTTTATTCTTTGTGCTAACATATTTTATAATATTGTGTGCTTGATGAAAAAACTAACATTGAACAGTATCAAATAACAATTTAGAAGTTTCATTTTAATAGTTTTATTTTTATCAAATTTTTGTGATTTTCATGCAGTATAGTTTGATGGTAGATTCCCTCCTCTGTCTGCACATTCCCTCACAGCCCCCTGGCCTAATTTAATGTACTCTCTTGTGTACATGAAATAGAGCCTAGAGAGTCTGATTTGTGTCCCCAAATGTCCTTCGGTGTGCATTCATCTACTGAGCCCACACAAGCTGTTAATTGCCAAAAGCTCCTTAGGTTGGGTTGAGATTTCTTACCCACTTTCCCATGTCTGTGCTGGGATCTTTTATGATTTGAGCTTGATTAGGACTTGTGCATGCTGTCACCATTGCTGTGAGTTCACATGAGTAACCGTTAAGCTGTCTGGAAAACTGTTTCCTTGTGGTCATCCACCTACTCTAGCTCATACAATCTTTCTACTTCCTCTTCCACAATAGTCCTTGAGCCTTGGAAAATGGACATTTGAAATAGGTGTTCTATTCAGGAATAGGCAATCTGTGGCCTCTTGTTCTCTGCACATTGTGGGTCTCTGTGTTAATCACCATCTGCTGCATAAGGAAACTTCTCAGTGAGAGTTGAGAGATTGATCCATCCTATGTATAGAATTTGCATTAAAGATGTGTCACCTAGGGTTAAGCATCTCACAGACACTTACTCTCTGTATTTGACCAGTTCTGGAACTCTGCAGTAGTTTTCATATGTTGCAAAAAGAAGCTTCTTTGATGAGGGGTGAAAGGTACACTTGTCTCTAAATATGAGGATATGTATTTAGAAAAAAACTAAGAAAATATTTTGGTCTAGGGATGTGGCAAAGTGGGTTGCAGAGGGCTGGAGGGATGACTCAGTGGTTAAGAGTACTGGCTGCTCTTGCAGAGGATTCCAGTTCGATTCCCAGGACCTACATTGCAGCTAACACCTGTCTGTAACTCCAGTTCCCAGGGAATCTGATGCCCTCTTCTGACCTCTGTGGGCATTGCACGACACTGGTGGACTTACATACATGCAAGCAATACACTCATATAGATGCAATTAAAAAATAATAATTTTTAAGAGTATAATTTATAGACCTGTATACCCTCTCAAAAAATTAGAAAATATGTCAAATCTCACATTCCTTAGTAAAGATTATATGCCAAGGCCATGTTTGGTTTGTACCAGGAATCTATGCCAGAACATTAAAAGCTTTTCCTTTTCACCTTTTTCAAGGTCAGGAACTTAGATATTCCTGCTGTTGTATACATTCACCCTTATATCTGAGTTCCTACAAGGTATAAGAAAGAAGAGAAAATTTACAGTAATAAGAAATAAAACACTGAAAGGTCATTTGCAAATGATTGATAGTGTCATGTATTTAGACAGCTCGAAAGATTTTGTAGCTAAATTGTTAGCAATACAGATTTGGGGGCTGGAGGGATGGCTCATTGGTTAAGAGCACTGACTGCTCTTGTGAAGAACCCACATTTGGTTCCCAGTACCCATATCTGTAACTGTAGGTCCAGGTTATCTCATGTCCTCATACATACATGCTGGCAAAACACTCATGCACATAAAATCAAAATAAATAAATATATCAAAAAAGGAAAGAAGTTTAGCAGACAATAGTACACAAAAATTAAAAATGAAATTTTATCAGTTATTGTTTGTATTTAGTTTTCTATTACTGCTCTTAAATCTTACAACAAACCTACTGACTTTAAGCAACCCAATTTCCTAGACTTCAGTTCTGTGCGTTAGAAAGCAGCATAGTTCTTCCTGGTCTTGCCAGCCCTGTGGTCTTCACTGGAGGCTCTGGGGAAGAATCTGTTGTCTCCTGCCCTTTACCAGCTTCTGATGCCATCTGTACTCTTGCCTTCTGCTGCCTTTGTCACTGTGCAAAGCAATGTCATGTCTGTTTTTCTTACCACGTTTCTCTCTCCCTACTAAAAGGACCTCAATTATAAGGAGTCCTGTGATTAGACTGGGCTCTCCTAGATAGTGCAGGGATAGCCCTTTTCTGACCTCTGTGGGCATTGCACGACACGGGCGCACTTACATACATGCAAGCAATACACTCATACAGATGCAATTAAAAAATCGTGTCTAGATTCTTAGCTTAGTCATCTGAAAAGTTCCTTTTCTATTATAAGGTGATATATTCCTGAGTTCAAGAAATTAAAGTGTGACCACCTTGAAAAAGGTGACATTTTCTGCCTACAACAATTAACTTCTTAGAAAAGCTAGGTTGGGGATATATCTTCAGTGCAGACTTCCCTACCATGGATGGGTGAATGGATGTGTGGATGGCTGGATGTATGCATAGATACATAGAGAGATACATAGATAGATAGATTTGAAAGAATGTTAATAGAAAGTTTTCAGAGCCTCCTTTGGGAATATTTAAAAAATGCAACTTTGTTGAGAGAAGTTAAAAGAAGATTCAGATGGATACGTATACTGAGTTCATGGAAAGCATGAGTTCTCCACAAATGCATATGTTGTGTAAGAGACTTTTCCAGGGTAGATACAACACACGTATCTATTTACTCCAGAAGGGGAACCCCATAACAGACAAAAATAATGAGAGTCCAACATGGGGAACCAGTGTGTTTTTATGGGGGTTACTAACAGGAGTATGCACAGGGGTTATGACAAGGAGGATAACTCAGAAGCAGCTGCATCACTGAAAAGCCCACCCCAACAGTTGGTGACTTGAAAGCTGCATCCCTGGAGGTCTCTGCTCAGCTGAGGCAGCCCCCCAGTTCAGGGAAGCACTTTCTCAGAAGCTCTCCTCCTTACAAAGCTGCGGAGGGGCCTTAGAGAATCTTCCAATTTCCTGCTTTCCTAGACGTGTGAAGTTTTGTTTACTTCCCGAGTCTCATAAGCTTCGCTCTCCCTCCTGGAAGGAATGTCCCAAATCAAGGAAACTTATACAACAGTATAGATGTATGTGCATGCATACATATCTATAAACATAGATAATGAAAATCTGATCAAAACCCTCCGCTAGAATGTGGCTAATAGCAGATTTATGTGGAAGTTCAGAGGGCTCTTGCCATTTCTTTTCGTAAGTGTTCTAGAGGCACAAACCAGAGTCATCACACAAGAAAAGGAAGTAAATAGAATAGAAGAAGGAAAATTGTCTCTATTTGTAGATGATATAATCTTGATTTAGAAGATCCGAAGAAAACCAACCAAAAAAGTTTAAAGCTAATAAACAAGTTAGCAAGGTTGAAGGATATAAGATCAGTATTAAAAAGTCAGCTGTATTTCTTTATAACAATGAATAACCCAAAAATGCAATTAAGGAAACAATTCTCTTTATCATACCATAAAAAAATCACTTGGAAATAATTTAACAAAAGAATTGGAAGACATATACACTAAAAACTTGAGAACATGGGGCTAGAGAGATGGCTCAGCAGTTAAAAGCACGGGCTGCTCTTGCAGAGGACCCAGGTTCGGTTCCCAGCACCCACATGGAGACTAACAACTCTCCATATCTCCAGTTTCAGGGGATCTGAATCCCTCTCTGACCTCCGTGGGCATTGCAGGACATGGGTGCACTTACATACATACAGGCAATACACTCATATACATTTTAAAAACCTGAGGATATTATTTAAAGAAATTACTAGCTAAATGGAGCAACACCTCCGTTCTTGGATTGAAGTACTCTGTCATGCTAAGAGATATCAGTGCTGTTCCTCAAGCAGATTTAAACAATCCCCATCAAAACCAAACTGGATTTCTGCATAACACAATAAATTGTTTCCAAGATTCATATGAAAAGGAAGAAGAAATACACACACACACAGAGAGAAAGAGAGAGAGAGAGAGAGATTTAAAAATTGAAGAAAACAAGGCCTGGGGAGATTGCTCAGTGGTTAAGCACTGCTGCTCTTACATAAGACCTGGGTTTGATTCCCAGCACCCACATGGAGGGTAACAACCATCTGTAACTCCTGTTCCAGAGGATCTGAAACTCCCTTCTGACCTCCACGGGCATTGCATGACACAGGTGCACTTACATGCATGCAGGCAATACACTCATACACATAAAAATAATAAATAAAATATTTTAAATAAAAGAGGTAGAAGAAAAAAAGCCAGAGATTATACATTCCAATCTCAAAACTTACAAAGCGGCACCAGAGCGATGGCTCAGCAGTTAAGAGAATTGGCTACTCTTGCAAAGGACCCAGGTTCAGTTCCCAGGACCCACATGGCAGCTAACAACCATCTGTAACTCCAGTTTTAGGTGTTTCAACACCCCTTCTGATCCCCACACACATTGCACAACATGGATGTGCTTACATACATGCAGGCAATACACTCCTACACATAAAATAAAAATATTTTTTAAAAACATAATGCAGAACTGTAGTCATCAAGACAATAGGATATTGACATGAAGGTAGATATAGACATAAATGGAATATACTTGAGAGTCTAAAAATAAGCCTACAGCATTTACAGTCACTTGATTTGTACAAGTAAATATCCACATGAAAAAAAATTAATTCAAAAGATCAGGAACCTCAATGTGAGAGTTAAAATACAAAACTCCAGAAGTGAACAAAGGTATAAATCTTTGTCACCTTGGATTAGGCAGTGTTTCTCAGCCTGAATCATAAGCAACTAAAGAATAAAAGAGATAAATTGGAGCTCATCAAGGCCAAAACTTCATGCTTCATAAAATAAATAGCAAGAAGTAAAGGAGACAAAGAACAGGACAAAAATAAGTAAATATATCTGATATTTGATAAGAGCTAATGTCCGGGATATATAAAGAACTCATAATTCGATAGTAGAAAGATAACCCAATGTTGAAATGAGCCAAATGTTTGAATTTCTTTTTCAAGAAAAGATACACTTGATCAATAGGCATTCAAAAGATATTTGACATCATTCATAAAAGGCAAATCAAAGCCACAGTGAGATGTCACTTCATATTCACCAGAATGGCTGTGATAGAAAGACACCACAGCAAGCATTGGAAAGGACGTGGGGAAACTGGAGCTCTTGCATGTTGCTGGTGGGAATGAAAACCATCTGTCCTCTTTACAAAACTGGCCAGTAAAACTACAGAAAGTTAAAGGTAGACTTGCTTTTGATGCACCACCTCTGCTCTGGGTATGTATACCCAAGAGAACTGGAAATGTATGTTTACACAAAATCTTCCTCAAATATTCATGATTGCATTATTCATAGTAAGCCAAAAGGTGGAAACTACCCGAATGTCCATTCGTTGATGAGTGAATACACAAAGTGTACTGTATCCATAAAATGTTGTTCAGCCAGAAAAAGAGATGAAGTACTGACACGGGGTGCTCACAGATGAACTGGGTCACTATCCATGAAAGAAGCCAGCCACGAATGGCCGTATGCTGTAGAAATACATGTACGCAGCGTTTGTGGAGGGCGGATAGAGACCGTGACTGAGTCAGAGTAAGAAGAGGAGTGGTCACTGCTAACAGGTGACTTCTTCTTTGGCAGTGGTGGAGACATGCACTCTGAAAATGGATAGTGTGTGAGGGGCAGTTTTGTGGGTCATGAGATACAGTTCAGCCAAAGAAATGCACGCTGAAGGAAAGGGCAATAATGGGATATGCCTTCCAAAGAATTTAAGACTTGCAATGATCTAAGTGCCAGGTAATCACGGTCTGGATTATGAAGGGAAGCGGGAAACAGGGAATTTTAAAGGAAAATACAACTTTATCTATTTAAATGTAAAGAAGGAAATGGAGACATAGCATGTCCATAGGTATTTGGATACCAAAACAATACTTTTGAAACTAAGCATAATATTTTTATAAAATAAGTGTCAAATAAGTACACCAAATCAAATCTGTGCATTCAAATTTATATCTTTATATTTAAATATAAGTATCTTAAAATTTATAAACTTCAATATTATGCAACCTGAAGAGTAAATTTGTTATGAAACGTGTCATTTTGCCCATTCCTCATTTTAGCAAATACCATCATCCCTGTTTTCCCAGGTTGTGCTGTATGAACTTGGAGAGACTGGAGTATTTTTAAGGGTACATTGTAGTTTTGCATGTTTTGGAAAATTATTTATAAATAATTTATACCATCATAATAAAAGTATATTTTGAAGTTAAATATAAGTATTCTAATTGTATCGGCACTCTAGAAGTTAGTTGTTGGTTGGTTGTGTTTTTGGTTTTTTTTGAGACAAGGTTTGTAACCCCAGCTGGCCTGGAACTCACTACATAAACCAGGCTGGGCCTCAAGCTCAGAGACATCTACCTGCCTCTGCCTCCTAAATGCTGGGATTAAAGGTGTGCGCCACCACCCCGGGCAAAAACTATATATTTTATTGCCTCCGTGTAATAGGATTCTTATTTGCTATTCTGCTCTAATTTATCAAAACTTTCCAGTTGGAGAGTCATCTTCGGGGAAGGCCTCAAGGAGCCTTGCACAGCACATCCCAGGTCCTGGGGGAATTGAAGGTGTGAAAGGAGCAGCTTCCGGAGTTGTCGGGGAATTAGCACGTGCCAGGTTGGCCCTGGATGAAAGAGGGCAGAAGCTTAGTGATTTGGAAGAGAGAACTGCAGCTATGCTATCCAGTGCAGATTCATTCTCCAAACATGCTCATGAGGTATGTCTGTCATGCAGTCAGTTACATGAAAAAGCTGATGAAGCGCATATAAAAATGACCACATTTTCGTATCTGTTATATTCTACAGATATGTCCTTTGTACATTTGCAAATTCCTGATTTTATCACCAGAGGAAACCATTACAAGAATCTCAGTAGGTTTTGACTTCCTAAGTTTACAGATTTTGAAAGAGCATGCCCACTTTTAGAACCACAATAAACATGCTAGCCTTCCTTAATTCCTCAGTCTGCTAACTACCTTGTTCCTGAAAAGAAAACCATGTCTCCTAGATTCTCCCAAGTAGATCTAAATAACAAAGTGGGTTAGCATTTTGAGTCTCTCTTGTAGCCTAATACATATGCACATGTACTGGAATATTCTTTGCAATGAATTCATGCAGATGTAGTAGAATATTTTTTGCAATGAATTCAGAAGTTATGATGGATCTCAAAAACAGATGCCATAAAGTAGGGATCCTCAAACAATACTCAGACAACTATATGTTGTTGACTAGTACATTAGTCCTTAAAAAGTAAGCTTAAAATACGCATGGTGGTGTATGCCTTTAATCCCAGCACTTGGGAGGCAGAGGCAGAAAGATCTCTGTGAGATTGAGGCCAGCCTGGTCTACATAATGAGGGTCCAGGCCAGCTGGGGTTATGAGAGACCCTGTCATAAAAAAATAAAAATAAAAACAAAAGAAAAACCTTAAAATTTAAAAAAAAAAAACATAAAAGCCTTCATGTAAAATACATATATCATTTTTGCAGGTCCAGGCCAGCTGGGGTTATGAGAGACCCTGTCATAAAAAAATAAAAATAAAAACAAAAGAAAAACCTTAAAATTTAAAAAAAAAAACATAAAAGCCTTCATGTAAAATACATATATATCATTTTTGCACACATCTACCACTGCTTCATGCTTTGGACTGGGTTACTTCCCATATTTACTTCCTAGACTGGCCTTTGAGGATATTTTAGGTTCTTGTCTTGAATGAACAGCATCAAAGTTATGTTTATATTTGTGCATCCAGCCTATAATACTAGCTTTTCTTTAATTTTTTCAACCAAAAGTCATCTTTTGAATATATCCAGGAAGTAACAGCCTGGGAGATATTTGTCCAAAGCATCAGAGTTCTTTTGTGAATACTTGGTCAGTGTCCACAGATACCTCAGATGTTAGCTGATAACCTCCCATGTAGGATGGGATTTTTGTTGTCATAACCATGTGCTGACTATGTGATCCATTCAGGCATACAGCACTTGGATCAGTTTCACAGTCTTTGTACATCGTGCATAACAGAAAGCACTGGTACTAGTCAGTAGCCCTTCCCTTCCAGGTGCTGTTCCTCACATACACTGAGTCTAATGAAGACAAGAGCTTGGTATGGCTTATGTTCGTGGACTCCTGAATTCAGGATGTCCAGGTTCACCATCCTGCTAACTAACCTTGACTCAAACCTACAAACCTTAAGTTCTTCATTTATACAGTGGGGAGAAAAGTAATACATCTGTTTTGTTGTCCAGATCAAATGAAATCAAGAGCAAATGTGTAATTCGGTAGCTGGTTCATAGCAGGGATTTAGGAAATTTGAGATGGCAGTAATTTTTTCAGCTTTTCATTTCCTAATCCTTTTAAGCATTATTTTTAGTTCAAATTAAAGACTTTGTAATTGCCTTATTTTTAAGTTACTTGCTATGTCACCAAATTGTGTCACATATCAGAAAGAAATTATGATACAACTAAGAGAAATTCCAATACCTTTAAGGTGAGTCCTTAATAAATAAGACCATTTTGTATCTAATTGGAACTGTTCTTACTGCTTTAAAGAAATTGATCTGAAGTAAACAACATATAATAGTCCAGAATGTCTCAAAATACTGTGCTTTACAGATACCAATTATAAGTAGTATTTTGGCATTATGAAAACATGTTTTTGTTATTGTTGTTGTTTGTTTTTTTTTTCTCTTTAGATGATGCTGAAATACAAAGATAAGAAGTGGTACCAGTTCTGACGGCCAGATCCAGTAAGTCCAGCTTCAGCGAGAAAGGAAATCTCCTTTTTGATTTCATTGGTTTATTTAGGAGAGTTAACATGAAAAGGATGCTCATCACTGACAACTGTTCTTTCCTAGCACAATCATGCACTGTTTTACCTCAGTCACATGGCTTTACTTAAGAGGAGCTGACACACACAAGCTGGAAGATGTGGTGTGTGCTGACTGGGAGTTGACAAAGGGGAACCTAACAGGTCACATGTGACAGATGAAGAAACAAAGGAATGTTGAAACGTGGCAGGGACTAGTCCTTGGATCATTCCTCTATTTAAACTTTCATATGCCAAAAGAGTCTGTGCTGTTGTATCTGCCATCAGTGTTTGATCTGACTGGGGGGAGAGGCAATAAGTCAGAAATTCCCAAGCTGAACAAGGGTCCTTTGTGTCACTGGACTGGATTATGAGCAGCTGTCGTGGACCCTCTCTTAAACTGATTGGTCATCAGTATCCTTAGTGGGAAAGAAACAAACTGTTTGTTACCATACTTTAGACTAAGCTGAAGGGTGGGCTTTAAATAATCACAGCATACACACAGTTGACTTGTGTGTGCACTACCCTTGATTTGTTATTATGTACTTGTGTTCAGTTCATATTGTCAAAAGCGAAACTGCGATACATCACTTTTCATTGAAAAGAAAAGTGTAGAGCATGACTGAGTTGCTCATCTTCTGGAAGTTTCCATGTAGTAGCCAAACAGTGTGGAAAGTGAGAAAAGCCTCCATTGTGGTGAGGAGAATACTTCATTGTCTTTTGTCCCGGTTCTCATTGATTCAGATAAAGGTAACTGACTAAAATGGTTACTGTTTAAATTTGTAGAAAAGTTGAAATTGGCTAAGTTTTTAATTTTGCTTGAATTTTTATAAAATGTTTAACCAAATGTACCTTTGCATTATTTAATTAAAATTGCTAAAACAACAATGTTTCCTTATTTCAGTGAAATACTCAGCTCCCTTTTTAAAATGTCCTTTATTTGCTGACATTTCCAATACACTCAGGAGATGAGCCAGTACAATCTTAGTGCACATGCTGTCGCATGGAAACTACAAGCATTTTTTGTTAGTACTACATAAGAGTCTAGTCAGATGACCTACAAAATATTTTCTGTAGAAATATTCTATAAATCTGTACATATTCTTTCAAGATATTAAAAGCAAAAAGGAAAGAAAAAATATGTACACTTGGGTAACTAAATTATTTCTGTAATAGAGATTAATTAATGCCCATTGGACAATGAGTGATTGGTTCCTTAGTAGCATTACAGAGGGAGAGAAAGCACCCCAGGTATCAGGAAGTAAGTAGGCCAGTCTAAGAGTAAGCACTGTAAAAGCTTCACAGAGGGAGTGACCTGGAAGCATTCAAATTAATGTTAATGAAATTTAAATATTGTCTTCTGTGAAAAACTTTTTAGTAGTTTTCCTTTTTCATTAAGAGATAAACAGAGCACAAATTGACAGAAGACGTGGTTGTTTTCTCATTCGTTCCATGTGGCAAGGACCTTCAGGTCTGCAGAGCACCTTCCCTTCTTTACACACTCTGTTATGTACCTTCTCTTTCCTCGTTCCATTAATAAAGCTTTTGTTTACATTTTACAATGTGCACTACTTGATATAAACGTTTACATCAAAATTTAAGTAGCATGGGGTAGAGACTAAATATATGTGATAAAGATCATTGATCAAGGCAAAAATGTTTTAAAACCACTATCATTTTCAAAAGTTTTGAATCTGTAGAAAGTGGATAACATTTCTGTTTCACTTCAGCTCTCTGGTGAACATTCAGCAATTTACAAATTGCTTAATTTGCATTATATATTGTCCTTAAGCCCATGTTCCATGATACCTCATATGAAAGTTTAGGTCCTTTTTAAAGGTATAGTTTTATGAATATCAATAAAGTCAAGAGTTACAGAGTTTTCAAATGTTGAGAAGTAATGACTAAATTGATATACTGGTTGACACCGCAACCATGTGGAAGGATGTATGAGCATCAGCTTTTTAATTTGCTGTTATTTGTATGTCAAGTTCATTTTTATAGTCACTTTTTCCTGTTGTATATAAAATGAATCAAACTTGTAATTACGTACTAATAGAGACGTAGATGTATTTACCTGAGATGGATTTTATAAGAACTTCTTAATTTATAATTTTAAATTATTTGATTCATTTTTAAATAAATCTACATATTGTGCACAGTGAGCTAGAGGCTAGGATAGAAAGTATAAAAATATTTTTGAATATAGAAAATAAGTTTCTCAGAGTTATGCTTGATTCTGTCTGTAAATAGGAAACAGTCTATTATAACTAACCCAGGGTATTTAAGGTGAGCTAAGAAATAATTTTTTTTTTCTCTCTCTCTCTCTCTCTCTCTCTCTCTCTCTCTCTCTCTCTCTTTTCTGTCTTTCTCTTTTGATGAAAAAGGCAGTAGTCACCAGCAAGCAAAAATTTCAGGAAAGCTAACCAAAAAGAAAAAATAGTCAAAATAGAAAATATCAGAAAATTAACAAAGAATTCATAAATTTGTGCGTGTATATTTTCTCTCAACACTGGTCACATCTGTCCTTGATTCTGAAGTTAAAGTATTCCTTGATTAGCTGTTTGTCAACAGGAAGTGATTTCCCTTTGTGTACCCCACCTATCTAGTTCATTTGAGTTTGCAAACTAAAATCTGTGTATATTGTCTTAGAATGTTATTTGAAATCTTATATTCTGTCAAAATCTATATATACATTTGAAATATTGCATCATCTTAATACTTGTTTGCATTTGAATCATACTGTGTTTCTAAAATATTGGTTGTAAATTCAGAAGAGCCTTTGTTAATGTCTTAATTTGGGGGTTTTATGGAGAACAACACTGCTGCGTCTACCACTGTGCGCAGGTGGATTTCCGTTTCATCGAGAATCCTACTTCCAGGAGCTTCTCCTTTACTTAGAACTTGTCACTTGTTGGTTCTCTCGAAGCTAAGATCAAGTATATGTGAGTGTTTGAAACAAGTCTGAAAGTGTTACCTACTTTTAGGTTGAGGGGGATGCTGGGAGATGGCTGCGGAACTGAAGACTGTGGACGACACCACGGAGTTCCATGTTTCACCCTGAGTTTTGTATTCACACCATCTGTGTTTTGCTTAAGGCATTTCGCATGCAACATTAGTAAAGCTATATCCAAAGGTAAATTTTTTTGTGGCGAAGATTATTTTAACTTGGGGAATTTTGTTTATTTGTTTCTGCAAAAATAAAGAGCAATGAACTTTAAACTTGAATTTTTTCTGCACTTTTTTAGGTAATGAAAACTTTTTATTGTTTAATCTGTGTTTTTTTTTCAGTTTAAATTGAGACATGTATAGAAAACATACCAAAATCATGAATACGCTGCTAGCTGCACCTTAAACTGATCAGTTTTAAAACCTGTAAGAGGGTTTTATATAGCTTTTAAAGATTTTAAAGAAATTATTTGCTGTTTGTTTTAGTGTTCTAGGTCTTAAATTATGGGACACTTTCAGAATTGTTTTACAATCATGTAGTAACATGTTATATTTATATATTGCTAGAGAATATGCTTTTAGTTTTAAAATGGAATTTTTATAAATGTACTCCTTAATTTTAAAAATGGTGAACTTGTTAAGTCAAAGTACTTAAAAAGTATGTATATTTTCCATACAAAAGTTATGTTTTAAGCTTATAATAAGAAATATTGATATCTCATATCAAGATACAATTTTTAAAAAAACCATGCATCATTTAAAAGTCTTAACACAAACACATGACAAGAAAAATACAATTAATATGGTTTTTAAAACCCTCTATTAAATATTTTCAAATATTAATTTTATTTTGAGGAGAAATGCCCACAATAATAATTTTAAAATCTTTCTCAATAGCTACAGCTTGGTGTTGGATGCATACCTTAATTATTGTTTTAAAACATATATATTTAAAATAGTTTTTCCAGGTATTTTCTTCTACCTTTTTTAAAAAATAAATTTCCAAAAATGAAAACAGAGTTTATGTATTTTTGTCAATGACGGTTTTTATTTTGTAGTTTATAGAATTGGTTCCTTATCAGTTTGATACTTGAAGCCTATTCTTAGGCTTTTTAATATGTATTTACTTTGAAAAAGAACACTCCTATGTCATAAAATGCCGTTTTTGGTTTTCCATTTTTTCTTTTTCCTTTTAGCGTTAGTTCTCCTGGATTGAAATTACGCCCGATGCTCTTCCGATGTGAAGCTGAGTTCACGTGAAGCTGCTGCCCACAGCTCGTGAACTGCTCTCGTCACTCTGCCCTGCTTTCTGTACAGCCTGCCTGTACGGGAACGGCCTGCTCTGCCCAGTGAGCGCACTCCTCACTGCCTGCGATGCTGCCATCTGGGGACAAAAACAATTGTTAAAGCTCCAAAAAAGGGAAAGTAGCTTACCTTCTTAGCTGAACTACATGGTCTCAATTCCTTCCCAATTAACAGATTTTGTACCATCGCTTTCCTAGTACCGTCTTGAAATTATTAGGCACAGTTAATTTATAAATTGAGAAGTCATGCAGAGCTTCTATAAATGCTCTTTATATTCTCTTCAGAAAAACCACGAATGTCAGAACTGCCAGTATTTTGCAATGAGACTCAGTTTAAAACTATATATAAAACATGTAAATAAATCTTCATTTATTGTAGGTCATTTGACTCAGGCATTTAAAATACAGATTAATCGCAATGGAATTCTCTTCTTTTGAGTTCGGTGTGTTTGTTTTAATATTACCATTTGTTTTTGTTATCTAAACTTTGCTTCCATTGAAGGCAGTGTAATGAGTTTCAAACTCAACATAAAAAGTTGATGCGAAGATGAGAAATGGTGGTTTGATTTCTTTCCGTTTCTTTGTAAATAAACAGTGCTGTGATACTTTAGGCGTGACCTCTGCAACATGGTAGGGAGAATCAGGAAAAAAATCTTTCTAGTTACACTGCTGGTTCATTGTACGTGTGTTGCCAAAAGACAACTGTAAAAAGACCACGATTTCCTTTTCCCAGCCTTGTGTACACAAGGGCATGCTTGGTTAGAGCGCTAGCCTGTGTGTACCTTTGCCCCACACTGCAGTGTTCAGTTGATACACTTTCTCTCCTTTATTTTTGATCAATCCCAGTAACTATCTCAAGATAATTACTGGAATATGCTTTTGAAATGTTTTTTTAAAAAAAAAAATATGTGCACTGTTTTATTTCAGAAAGCACTATTGCAAACACTAAAAATGTTCAAACTTTGTAGTTGTTTTGCATTCCTATAATTTATCAGTAAAAAAAAAACTGTCATCACAGCGAAAGGTTTAAAATTAGGTAATGAAATATTTTTGTAAATAAATACCATAAACTGGTATTTTTTTTAAATGTATTATAAATTAATGTTTCTGGGAAATGTTGATATATATGTACGTGAATGTCTCTGCTGAAGGGCTCCTACTGGGCAAAATAAAATACTCTTATCTCTCCTGAACTAAAAAAAAAAGCCCTTTCTCTGGATATTTTGTTCTAATTTTTTTTGGATTGTGGAATTAGCCCATTAGTAGAAGAAAATAACCAATAAAATAGGTTGCCACATTTCCAAGGGGAAAATCAAGTTAATTGGGTAATTCATGTAAGATGACTGATTTAGGATTTGGGGTAAAAGTCACCTACACATGTGGTAGATGTCTAGAGAGGGTAGGAGATGGAGCTAGATCTGAATGTTCACATGACACTCAGGATCTTGTCTAAATGCTGATTCTGAGTCACTATATTTGAGCAGCAGCTTGAGTTCGCCATGGAAAATCTTTCAAGTAAGGCTAACAAATACAGATGTTTCCATAGTTGGCATTTTGCTAAGATTTGTCAGTATCACTGTATATACTTGTACCAAAAATTAACATCCAATTAATAGACCTGGAATAGTGTCTCAAGACCAAGTTGTCTTTGTTTCCATTGAATTTTAAAATGAAGAATAGGGCAGTTCTCTGACTAAATCCAAGGTTTATCTGACTTTGAACTATATAGAATGAACTGTGATGCATGCCTGTTCCACATGGTGGCAGTCATGTCTCACTGTGTGAGCCTTGAACAAGTACTTAGAATATAATTTTAAAAAGGGAGAACCCACAAGCTTTCAAAGGTTCATTTTTCATGATACTTTTTTATCTGAAAACTTAATGATTCTTATGAAGCAGACATCATCCTGAGGTTTTATAAGTAATAGAGATCATTCTGTATTGATCTGATATCAAAAGAAGTTTTAGCACTTTCATAATCAAGTAAAACTTTGAAAATAAGATTTTCTTCCTATCTCTGCTCATGCCTTTTTAGAGAAAATTATTCTGAGTGTGTCCTGTCTAGTGGCACTCTGTCCTTTACTGCTTTGGATAGAATTAAACTTGTTATTTTAGCTGTCCATAGGAGTACATAGGAAGAGTCTGGTTTTCTTCTTTTAAAGATACTGCTTGTTGTGCTGTTTTCAGGTTCTGTACCAAAAATTGCTGTCATAGGTACCCAACCAAAGCTTTTAAAATGCACTTAAAGACTTCTGAGTTATTTTCAAATTTTGTCTTGTCTATACTTTATGTTCTAATCACTCAGAACTTGTACAACTACTCTAGCCTTCAATTTGGGTCACCTTACATAAGTTTATTTCTAAAAATAAACCCTACAGAGTGTTTTTTACAACTGCTTTCAAAAACAACATAAAAGTAGGATGCATATTTATTTAATAAAACAAAATTTCAGACAAAGCACCATATATGTTACTACCAAAGAAGTCTGAGGACTTCTTTTAAACACCAAACTGGAGCTCTTGTTTAATATTGTGTACCTGTCCTGCCAAAAGGAGACCCTGGTACTGTCTGCACTGACTTCCCACCTCACTCTGCTTCCTCCATGTCTGTCTATCCCTGATCACCATGTCTGTCACCTCAACTCAGATGCCTTACTAGTTAGTGAGTTTGATTTTAACCAAACATTGCCCATTCAGTAAAAAAAATACTGTAAATTCTGTTTCTTAGATCCTATCCCTAAATACTGCGTAGATTTGTAAATATTTATAAATATCATAATGTGAATCATCCATGGTGGTGCATGCCTTTATCCCAGCAAAGGCAGGTGGATCTCACAGAGATCAAGGCCAGCTTGGCTTCCATAGCAAGTTCCAGGCCAGCTGGGGCTACAGGGAGACCTAGTCTCAAAAAGACTAAATATAAATAAATTAATAATAAATATCATGATGTGATCCCTACCTCTTGTAGCCTTCAAACACTCAAAATCTCCACAGATATTGCAGTTAACCCTACAGGAACTCTGCTGAGACCTATGTTAAAAGGCAAAACCCCAGGGAGGGGAGGGGATAGAAAGCCCTGTGCCAGCAGCCCCAGATGACATCTGAGCATTCCAGCTCCAATATTCCAGAAAATCCCACCACTTACTACAAAGGTTAGGAGACTACACCAGGCGTGACCTTGCATGATTCCTTAACCAAATGTAATTGTGCATGCCTTTAGATTAAGCCATCATTAAACTAGAGCCTCAGTCTCCTGGAAAAACAACTCTAGAAAGCAAACTTCTGGACCAATACCCCTTTTTCCCACATGCTAGCACTCTCTGGTACTGTAAGCCTGGAGGAAAGGCAGCTGTAAGAATTTGCATTCCTAAGGAGTTAACTTGTATCCTGCTGGTACAGACCACACTGAGAGCCCTGGTCTGGAGCCATACTCTAGAAGCAGCAGCTTCTCTAGCACAGATACTTGGGTATCTCTTTGACTATTCTGCAATTTTATGGGCAGTGTGCTTGCTGACATATATATTTTTTTAAATCCATATAACATCTATCCAACACAACGTACATGAATGAAAGGAATCGGTAATTTTTAAAAAATACTGCAACATATAATTACCGAGCTTAAAGTCCCAACAAATTGCCAAAATACTCCCTAAGATATGACACCTTCAAACTACCCTCCCCTTCAAGCACTTACCCTCCCCCATAGCCCAGGCATCTAATATTTGAAGCCTTTGCCAGAGACTGAGACCCTGCCCCTGTGTGTTCCCATTCAAGGGCATTGTCAAATATGTCACCATGGGGCATACTTGAAAGCATAGACTGAAGTCTAGCTGTTTAAATTAGTTTGGTTTTGAGTGAAAGAATTAGGACTACCACTGTAGATTTTTGCATAAAGTCATTCTAAATTATATAGATTCTTAAATCATATTTAATATTTATTTCATAACCTTACTAGCAGTCTGCTGGTAACTTCCAGATTTTTCTGATAACTAAAACTCAACATTTTTGGCTAATAGGCAAGTCTGTTTGTTTATGGTTCTATGTAAGGTGTGTGTGTGTGTGTGTGTGTGTGTAGGGAGGGAGGGAGAGAGAGAGAGCAGGCACATAAGCCTGCTTATGAAGACCAGCATTCTGTTATAAGTTTGCCATCAATACTAATGACTTTGTAAGCCACTTGACCTCTATTAGACTGAGTTCAGTGTTTCATTATTTGTAGAACTTGGAACTAAGTGCTGGCTTTACCTACTTCACATGGGATCTATAATCTCTGAAGATCATTAGAAAACTAATTAGAATTCAAACATCAGACTTTATTGATTTTAAAAATAGATTAATTTCTGTTTGTAAGTATATGTATGACATGGGGCAGGGGTTGCCAATAGAGGCCAGAAGAGGGTGTTGGATCCCCTGAAGCTAGATTAGAGGTGGTTGTGAGCCAACCAGTGTGGTTGCTGGGAGCCTAACTCAGGTCCTCATCATCTTAAAAGCATTAGTTCCTTAGCACTGTGAATCAGAAATATATTTGAATTTCAAGACAAGCAGCAAGTTTTGTATCAAGATCAGTATTATTACTATTATTACTATGATCAGACTCAAAACCACTAATAACCATTAGTGATTAGTGAAAATCGATGAATTCAAATGTTTGAATTTAATGAGCATCTTCAGTTTCAAAAGAATTCTTTTTTGCTGTGTTGCTCCTGGGAGCTAGTTCATCGGCATCTATTGTAGACCATCACTAGGATGTAAATGTACTATAACTATGCCTTTTAAAATAAGCATCAAGCCAAATCCCAATGCCTGGCAACTTTTTAATAAACATTACAATTTCATATGTACCATTATTTTTCTCCCTGGTATAGTAAATAAGTACTTTATATTGTTTAGTGATTGCATAGTTAACAGTGTTTCTTTCATGGACCACTTATAAAGTATTTCTATAAACATAAATTTTGCCTGAATTTAGAACCTTACTTTCCTTTACTTTTATGATGTGTCTAGAGACCATGGTTTGTGTGTGAAGGTCAGACAACTTGCAGGAGTCTGTTTCTGTTTTTCCCATCACGTGGGTCCTGGTAATGAAACTCAAGTCGTCAAGTTTGGTGGCAAGTGCCTTTACCTGCTGAGCTATCCTCCCTAGATCTTTAAAAACAAAACAAGACAAAAACAACAACAAAAAACCAATGAGACTTTCTTTAGGAGAGAACTGAGCGACCTTAGAGTCAGATCCTAACTGGAGGCCTCTTCTGCTTAGCAACAGTGCACATTTAAGTTACTTAACTTTTGTAAGCACACATTTCCGTCAGATGTTGCATAGGAATGAAATCAATCAACACCTTCAGAAGATTGTCTGAAGGACTCCAAGTAAGAATGTGGGGAGCAAGACGCAGCTCACAGACCGTTTTCCCAGCCCAGACAGAGCCAGTGAGCCAGCACCTCCACAGCCACTGCCTCCAGCAGGGTATTTAACTCCATGCCTCAGTTCCCTCGCCTGTAAAATGCTAAAAATTATTAAGCTAATAAAGGTCAAAGGCTCAGGATAGTATCAAATACAGTGTTACTAACTGACACACAATAATTCAAACTAACAGAAAAGTGCTCATGACTGAGCTAAGGTAGCCTCTCAGCACGTGTTTACTGCTGCAAGAACAAGGAAGGAGACACCCTATACCCCAGTCTGCTCATACCCATCTGCCGCCCTAGATTCTGCTCTCAAAGGGGGAGAGGGAGCAGGATCGAACTTCTGCCGAGTCCTGTCTCACTTTCCTAGGCATGGCCTCTTTCATGTGTATCACAGAAAGCTTCTTGGCTAAGGCCATTTCATGAATTAATGCAACAAATGGAAAACAGATTCTTTAGAGTTTCATTCTGTCTGTTTATGACAGGGTCTTGCTATGTATCCCAGGCTAGCCTACAACTCCTAATCCTGCTTCCACATCAGGAGTGTTGGGATAAAAGACATATTCTATATACACCCAGCTTGATGGATTATATTCTTTATTCAACACTCAAAAGATGTTGAAATCCAGTCCACAACCCCCAAAATGGTCCTCCCTGCCTTTCCTTTTGCCTTTAGTCACTGGATACCCGTGAAGACTTCCAACTGCCAGCACCTTCAATATGTTTCCTTCCTTTCTTCCCTAGACTACCTCCTGTATCTATATTAAGAATAGTCTGAGCTCTCTCCAC